GTAAATGGTATGATGAGGTGTTAATGATGCAGATGGAAACATTCCCTTTCTTTCCTCCGTCCCCCCACCCCCATCTCTGTCTCTTGGACAAAAAAAGGAAAACAAAGATGAGGGCAAATGGTAAACAGCACCTGTATAATGTGGGAAGACAGTTAAGATGTGTAAAGTACTTGACTCCAGCAATTTATGCTTCCGGTCCCCTGAAAACACTGTCAAGAAGTTGTTAAAACTTGGTGCTTCCCAAGAGAAAACGAGAAGCTTTGCAGGAAGATAATTGGTTACTTTTTTTCTTGTTGTCTCAGGAGCAGTTGAAGTTGTTTCTTAGCCACCTGGCAGGTCTCCTACATGTGATTCTAAGGTTTCATTCTGTTGACAGAACCTGCTCAGAACATCAAACTTTTTTTTTTTCACATTTGAAAATATTTTATTTTGTTTTATAGAATAGTTCCATAGGTTCTGGGCTTACCCGTGTCCCTCCCCCAGCCCACTAACCCCCTTGATTCCCCCTCTAGTTTTACAATGGGTGTCCTTCAAGAACAGCCAGTAAGTCCATGATGCTGTTACTGAAGTGTTTCTCGACAGTGTAGGCATGGACAGTGTCAGGTCCATTGTCATACTGTTATGTCATTTTCAATTCTTTCGCTGGGAGTCTATCTTTGATCTGTATGCATAGACACATACAGCACTCTGTCTCCATATCTGAACATATCAGTTCCCACTGTACTTCCATTATATATTCTAATTGCTCATTTTTCCTCTTGATCATCTTCGTTTCTCATTTCCTGTGCATTCTTTGTTAATGTTTTTTCAAGATACACAGCTCATTCTTAAATTAATTTCTTGAGCTCAGCGCAACAGCGTAATGGAAAAGGTCCTTGCCTTGAACTCGCCAGGATCCCATATGGTCACCGGTTCTAATCCCGGCAGCTCTACTTCCCATCCAGCTCCCTGCTTGTGGCCTGGGAGAGCGGTCAAGGATGGCCCAAGGTCTTGGGACACTGCATCTGCGTGGGAGACCCGAAAGAATTTCCTGGCTCCTGCCTTCGGATCAGCGCAGCACCAGCGGTTGCAGCCACTTAGGGAGTGAATCATGGGATGGAAGATCTTTCTCTCTGTCTCATCCTCTCTGTACATCTGCCCTTCCAATAAAATAAATAAATCTTTAAATAAAATTAATTTCTTGAGGCTATTTGTAGGATGCTTTTTTACTTTCTCGTCAAAGGTCAGGAAACATTCAAAGCATCCAAACTGTGTTTTCATTTTTATCTCCCTTACTTTGACTACTTAAAGCTAGATTGCATCCATGATGACTTAATATGAGTGAAACATTCTTGGTCATGTCGAAGGGCTTCATCCCTGCATTCCCTGTGCTAGCAGGATCGGCATCCCAAGCCGGGGGAGGCTGCTCCTCACACAGATGGCCTTGTCAGGAAGGTTCATTTCCAAGGTGGGTGGATGAGGACTGCAGGAAACAGCTGGCATTGGAATGTAGCTGTGTCCAGAGATGAGTGATCAGCAGTGCTTTTAAAATGTCCATATTTGAAGCCCGCGCTGACCTCTGGATTGAAGCTGTAGAGTTTATGGGCTCTGTAGCTGCATGGCAGAGCTGGCAGATCTGGTCTGGGGAAGACCCAGGTAGTCAAGTTTTAGGTTTGTGGGCCACATGTGTCTTTCACGTGTGGATTATTTCCTACAAGCTTATAAAACTGTAAACCTGGATTTATTTCAGGGGTCTTAGAGAAACAAGCTACATCCTGGTGCTTTTTGGAAATGCAAGTCTAGTTTTAAGTGCCAAACTAGACTGTCATCAAAAAATACTATTTTGCCTGTAAAATCGTGGGGTCTTAGGGTCCTTTGAAGCCTGTAGCTTTTCCAATGCAATTTAAAATGTTGCAGTTATTTCCTATTTTCCACAGAAAAACTTTGCTGTTTCAGCATCTAAAAGCCTATTCCAGACATTAGGTGAGACCGGAATTGCGAAAGGAGTACATGAGATCTCTACAGTTCTGACGACTTTTTGTCAGTCTGTTGGACAATGAAAACCTATTGTTATAGGCATAATAACTCTTCTGAGAATTTCTTCCTTTGTGAGATTCATTGATTTATTTGAAAGGCAGAATGACAGAGGGAAAGGGATAAAGAGAGAAAGGCCATGAAAAAGATCTTCTGTCTTCTGGGTCACCCCCCAAATAGTTGCAGTGGCTCAAGCAGGATCCAGGAACTCCATCCCGGTCTTCCACGAAGGTGGCCATGACTGAGATACTCAAGTCATCCCTTGCTGCAACTCTCGTATGTTCACAGGGAGGGAGATCAGAAACCGTATCCAGGACTAAAACTGACACTGCGGGATGAGATGTGAGTATTGTAAGTAGTGACTTAACCGACAGCGCCACAAGGCCCACCCCTCTTCTGGGTAAAGTTTTATGTACTTTTTATGAATTAATGCAGCCTACATATCTGAGACATTGATGAAAGCATTTTTGTTTATTTAAAACACTTTTTTGAGGGGTGTTCAGCCTCCACCTCTGGTGCAGCAACCCAGGTGGTGCTGATTCAAGTCCTGGCTGTTCCATTTCTGATATAGCTCCCTGTTAGTGTGCCTGGGAGGCAGTGGAAGATGGCCCAAGTCCCTGAATTCCCACCATCCACAGGGAAGACCCTGGTGGAGTTCCTGGCGCTTGGCTTTGCTTGGCCCAGACCTGACTCTTGTGGGAATTTGGGGAATAGACCAACAGATGCAAGATCTCTCTTTACTCTGTCTCTTTCTGTCACTCTGCTATTCAAATAAAAATGAGGGTGGTTTTTTTTTTTTTTTTTTAAGTTGTATCTTTTAGCCCTAATATAAAAGTATTTCAGTCTTAGGTGAGGGTTTGTGCAGTTGATTCTCTTCCATTTATTAGCACACTTAAGATTACTATCCAGATTTCCTTTTAAAAATTATTTTTGAGGGGCTGGTGTTGTGGCATAGTGGGTATTGCCACCACCTTGCTGTTGTGGGAAAATTGGTGAGACGAGTCCGAGTGGATATCACACTATCCATAGCAATCTGCAAGACCAGACACAATGGTGAGAGAAGAAACAGAAGCTCCCAGTGAACTGGAGGGATGTGTTTGTGTGCTTATGCTGGTGAAAAAGAGACCAAGCCACGCAGCCTAGGGGTATTTGTATGTCTTTAGCTCATTATCTCCAAGGGCCAAGTGCAGTGGTTATATGTTAGCTATTGGGAAGGAAGGGAATTTTTTTTTTTTTTTACATATGTGAATCTTATGACAGAATTTATTTTATAGCATGTTTAACAAAAATTATGTTTAGCGTTACACCATAATACCTAGATCAAGGAGTAGGTCAGGTTTTGTTTTGGTAGTGATAACCTCACCAAATTAAGTTTGGTCGCCTGTGACAGGTTCTTCATTTGACTTTAAAGACACAATTACAAAATAGGTTAGTTGTTGTTTCATCAGAATCCCTGAGGCAAAGCCTTTGAAGCATCTTAACCTGATGCCTGTCAGTTGTTTCTGCTCAACTTTCTAGCTGGTCTCAGGAGGCCAGGCCCTTATTTTCCCACTGGCTACAGTTTGAGAAGTTCTCTGACCGCCCTGGTAGGAATTTAGATATCCCGTATTCAGTTGTACTTGAATCTGCGGCATATTTTGTGAAAGCACTCGGAAGCTGTTAACCTGGACGGTTCCTGGCCACTGGCCCAGGCTCAGTTACCTGAACCTTCAGAGACAATGGGTGAGGGCTCTTCAAGGTGGATCAACTGGAGGGCAGAGCTTGAGGGGCCCTCAGCCAGCCACATGGTGAAAGCAGCTAAAGGGAATCAAATGTGACACGGATGAGAGCTGCAAAGGTCAGGGCTTAACAGCAGCTGTCACAGCGCTCTCTTCAGGGGATGTTAGCCTGGCCTGCTTCACGCATCCCATATAAACCCAGTTGATGTTCTCATCCAACTAACTCCCTGTTAATAGTCTGGGAAAGCAGGGGAAGGTGACCCCAAGTATTTGATCCCTGCCACCCATGTGGGAGACCCAGATAAAATCCCTGGCCGCTGGCTTTGGTCCAGGCCTGGCCATTGTGGCCTTCGAGGGAGTGAATCAGTGGATGAAACATCCCTTTCTCTCTCTGAACTCTTTCAAAATAAGTAAATCTTTCAAAAATTATTTTTGAAATAATTTTAGAATACAGTTTGTATTTTTTATACCTCTTTGTCCATTTTACTTTACTGTATATATTGAGAATAGATATTTAAAAAAATATTTCTTTCTTTTGGAAGTCAGATGCACAGAGAGAAGGAAAGACACAAATGAAGATCTTTATCCACTGATTCACGCTCCAAGTGGCCGCACAGTCAGAGCTGAGTCGATCCAAAGCCAGGAGCCAGGAGCTTCTGCCGGGTCTCCCATGTGGGTGCAGGGTCCCAAGGCTTTGGGCCATCTTCGGCTGCTTTCCCAGGCCACAGGCAGGGAGCTGAATGGGAAGTGGGGCCTCCGGGGTTAGAACTGGCACCCATACAGGATCCCAGTGTGTGCAAGGCAAGGAGGTCAACCACTAGGTTACCACAGTAGGCCCAGAATAAAATATCCTATCACAGTTATCAAATTCAGAAGATCTTAAGTTCTATGATATCTTTATGTTATTGACCATATGTCTTCTAGTTTTGCTGGTTGTCTCAATAATGTTTGTGTACTATTTTTTTCCGATGAGAATCCAGTCCAAGAGTAGGCTTTGCATTTAGTTATTGAATCTTTTTAATCTTAGTCTTTGTCTTTCATGACATTAACAGATCAGCTGTTTAATAGTTTGTGTCTCCTTCATGGTACCAGCAATTGTAAGAATTGTTTTTGTAGTTACATTATATGAAAGATCTTCAGTGGATAAATTCCTAAAAACCAGCTATTAAACAGCTGATAAGTCCTTAAATGTGCTTTTGAAAACAGATATACATGCAGTTCTAGAATACATTTCTCATCACTGGCTTCTCTGCTCTGTTTTTCTCAAGGTAAAAGGAAAGATGTTGTCCCGGTTCCGAGTTGCGGCTACGCCTTGTTCTTGGGCATGTCGTCGTTTGCACATAAAAGAGAAGGGCAAACCCCTGATGCTGAACCCAAGAACAAACAAGGTCAGTAGTACTCATTCCACTGTGTATTTTCTCCCTTCCTGTAAGGTTTGGTGTATTTGGATTGATACAAAAGGTGAAACTTTTGCGTTTTGTCATTCTATATGTTCATCACTCTATATGTTCAGAAGAATTTGCTTTCTTTACTTATGTTCCTCTCTTGTCTCCAAAGGCAAGATCATGGCTGCTTTATATTCCATAGACCTCAGCTTGCTTGCTTTCTTTTCTTTTCTTTTTTTTTTTTTTAAGGAATTTTTGCAGCCAGGAAAGCATTCATTGACTTTCGCTTCCTACTTCTAGCCTTAAAAGGAGGGAGGCAGGAAATATCTCAGAATAGCAGTTTGGCAAGAACTTCAGGCCAAATGTGGGATAGTTGAATGTACCCAACTCTCATGAGGTATTCGACCTAGACAGTAGGTACGCCCATTGGAGAGTGGGCTCAAATTAAAGCGAACCGTCATTTAAAGCCCACCCCATCTCCCAGTGAATACACACAGTCTTGCCAGTTAAATGAGACAGCTGCTTCCAAGGACGCTGATGGGTGCTGTGAAGACCTGGTCCTGACTCAATCCTTGAAGCTGAGTTCTGTGGGCAAGTCCTTTTTCTTTTCTTTTCTTTCCTTTTTTTTTTCTTTTTAAATGGCAATATTCAATAAAAATATGGCACATAAGAAGGCTGTGCTTGAGCCAGAGTTGTGGCATGACAAGGGAAACCTTGGACACTGGCTTCCCAGATGGGAGCTGCTTCCAGTTCTGGCCGCTCCGTTGTCAGTGCAGTTCCCTGCTAAGAGCCTGGGAAAGCAGCAGAAAATGGCCCAAACACTTGCGCTCCTGCATGCATGTAGGAGACTGGAAGAAGCTTCAGTCCTGGCCATTGCAGCCGTTTGGGGAGTGAACCAGCAGGCCAAAGATTCTCTCTCTCATTCTCTCCTTGTAATTCTGCCTTTCAAAAAAAAAAAGAGAGAGATGTAGGAATGTACATGATTGTTATACACACATTGCCATGAGGGGTTTTCAGAAAGTTCATGAAAATACATATTATACATATTATATGTATTATGAAAAACACTGTACCTGGAAATTTTTTCACCAGAAGTTTATTTTAATTGTATTTTTTCCATGAACATTTTGTATTCTATATATTAAATAGTCAGCAAGCATAAATTTGGAAGGAGAGTTCTTGCAGGAAGATTACAAAGGGGTACCATGAGTGTTGCTGTAGTACATGAAGTTCAGCTTTTTGGGAAAGAGAAATTTAAATTTAGAAAGGTATATCATATTTGAAAAGGACCTCCCTCAAAAATGTAGCAGCCCTGTTTGTTTCCCATTGTCAGAAGAAAATAAGGTAATGAAATGCTCAGTGTAAGTTTGTGGATTTTTTAGGTCCACAGAGGGGAGTTTGACCGAGCACCTCATCTTTGCCTTTCTGGTAGCTGGCACAGATGAAAATTTAGAAGAGTTTGTGGTTTAAGTGAAGGTGCATGAGGACTCATCTAACTCGTGTTTTGTTTTTGCCTCTCCTTCCAAACTTGCTTGCTCTTCTAGATGCAGCTCAGTGAAGCTCGGTTTTCCTACAGGGGTGTCTCATAGCAGCACAGCCCTGGGTGAACCTCTTCCTGCTCTGCTACCCTTGGCACTTTCATATTCCTATATCTACGACAAGGAATCAATCTGTGCTGTCATGTACTTTTCTCATATCTAAAGCTATGGTATGATTGAAATTACCAATGATATTTAGTTTCATGAGTTCCTGTCTTCTGTATGTCTGTGTTGGCACCAGACTGGGCCAGACTGAAACCAGGAACTGGGAACTCTGGATTTGTGATATTAAGTGGCAGGAACCCAGCCACTGAAGCTGTCACTTGTTCCTTTAGAGTGTGCATTAGCAGGCAGCTGGAGTCAAGAGCCAGTGTGGAGCTCCAGCCCATGCACTCGGACACCTGTGTCCAAGCAGTGGTTCTTGTTTTGTCTTTTAAATGTTTATGTATTTACTTGGAAAGCAGGGTTATATATATATATATATATATAGAGAGAGAGAGAGAGAGAGAGAGAGAGAGAGAGATAATCTCTGCTGGTGCACTCCCCAAATGACTGCAATGGCCAGGTTTGGGCCTGGAACTGTTGAGTCTCCTGAGTGGATGGCAGGGCCTGTGTGCTTTGGTCATCTTCCACTGCTTTCCCAGGCCACAAACAGGGAGCTGGATGGGAAGCAGAGCTGCTGGGATTAGAACCGGCGCCCATATGGGATCCTGGTGCGTTCAAGGGGAGGACTTTAGCCGCCGGACCCTAAATAGCTTTTTGAAAAATAAATACGCAATGTAGAGGCTCTCAATCAGATTTAACCCTTTGGGCTAAATTGCTGCTGCTGCTGGTGTCACTTAGCAAGACCTCTGAGTTAATAGCCAGAAGTGCAGCCTGAGGGGATGTTGTGGCACATAAGATTGAGCTGCCTGTTGGGACACCCACAGTCCTGTCACAGTGCCCTGTGGATCTGGCTGGTCTGCGCTTCTAATCCAGCTCCACCATGTACCTGAAAGACGCAGGTGATGGCCCATGTGCTGTAGTTCCTGACACCTGGGGGAGAAAACCACTCTCCTCTCTGTCGCTCTTCTTTTCAGATTAATAAATCTGTATTCTTGTTGGATATGATCACTGAAGCCTCTTCCTATTGAGTTTACTGCCAGTGGAAAGACAAAAATGTAAGTGCCTGGAACCAGTAAGCCTTCCTCTCTCTGCCAGGAGGCTCTGTGAGCATGCTGGGCACACCTCCAACACTCTGGTCCTTTACAACCCTGCATCAACCTTGGTTGCCAGAGCCTCAAGGTCAGCCAGCATGGGAGTATAGTGCCTTCTCACTCCTTTCCAGAATGTTCCTTCCCTCTGGTCTCCTAGTAGGCCCCGTCCCCAGACATCTCATTCTTTAGCTTTTCCTTTTCATTGTTTTGCTTAGCCTAGTGTTTGCCTCCATTGTTAATCGCTGCTTTAGACAGCTGCCATGCTGCATAATTGACTCTGAGTTGTTTACAGGCTTTTCTGGGTGAAAGGCCATTGGCAGTGGGTGAGCTCCAAGCCAGATCAAACAAAATAACCTAAGTGGGATATTCCAGGGCTGGTATGGTGGATCAACAAGCTAATCCGCTACCTGCAAACACAGCATCCCATATGGGCTCTGATGTGTGTCCCAGCTGCTCTAATCCAGCTCCCTGCTTGTGGCCTGGGAAAGCAGTCAAGGATGGCCCAGAGCCTTGGGACCCTGCACCTGCATGGAAAACCCAGAAGATTGTCTTTCAGCTTCAGATTGGTTGAGCTCCAGCTCCTGCAGCCATTTGGAGAGTGAACCAGAAGATAGAAAATCTTTTTTTTTTTTTCTTTTCTGCTCTCTGTAAATCTGTACTTTCAATAAAAAAACCAACAGTAAAACAAGTGGGAACTTCCTGAGAACTAGGTGGTGGAATCCTGACCGTTTCCTGGGAAAGACTCGGGTCCCTCCCAGTCCCTCTCACACTACTGGCTTTCTCATTGATTTCAAAACTGCTGTCTTTCAAGGCTCCCAAGGAGCTAGTGCAGGGAAAATGGGAACAAACAGCATGAGTGAGACTGCCACTGACCAGATCCTAGACATTTCTAGTAAATAAGTGCTCCCTGCTTGCTGTTAATAAGAGCCTCTGGTTAGTTTCCAGTTTTTTGGGGGGGAGCGGGGTTGGTTTGTTTGTTTTTGAGAATCTAATGTTTGGTCAGTGTTCTTGCCTTCATGGAAAAATGAAATTTGGAAGCTCAACAATTTCCAGCATCTCCACTTGCTTTGATACAAAGAATTTAACTCAGTTGAATATCAGAAAGTGGAGATTTTATGAACTATTAATTATAATGAATTACAGTAGAGCTCTCATCTTCCAGTTCACTCTCTAGTGTTATATTTCTTTGAATTTATTCTGGTGATTTCTTTTATCATGTGTGTAGACATTTAAATCTGATAACTGGTAGGCTAACAGTAAACTTTGATTTGCAACTTGCTTTTTTTTTTCCTTTTGACTGTGTGTCTTGGAAATCTTTCTACTATTATATATATTCAAAGGAGTATATGTGTTCCTGTGGCATTTAAGGTGTACCTTTGTAAATTGATAGACTTGTAGTTTGTAACAGCCAGGAGTTCTAGAAGCCGTGCTGTAAGGAATCTGTGTCCATCCTTATTCCATGTGTGAATATTGCTTGCTGATGACTGTCTGCAAGTCAGATTGCCTGACTCAAGAACATATGCACAGGGGCTGCCATTGAGGTATAGCAGGTTAAGTTGCTGCTTGCAACTCTGGCATCCCATGTGAGTACCAATTCATGTCCCAGCTGCTCTGCTGCTGAACCAGCTTCCAACTGTTTGCCTAGAAAAAGCAGCAGAATATGGGCCAACTGTTTGGGCTCCTGCAACCCACGTGGTGGGCCTGGATGAAGCGCCTGGCTGTTAGCAGCCGTCATGAACCAGCAGGTAGAACGTCTTTACCTCTTCCACTCCATCCCTCTGTTCCTGTAATGCTGACTTTCAAAGAAGTAATTAGATCTTATAAATTTCACTGAAAGTAATTTAAAATGTTTTTAAAAATATTTATTTATTTGTTTTTCAAAGATTTATTTTATTTTTATTGAAAGTCAGATATACAGAGAGAAGGAAGGACAGAAAGGAAGATCTTCCATCTGCTGATTCACTCCCCAGTGGCCACAACGGCCAAAACTGAGCCAGGCAGAAGCTAGCCCAGAGCCTCTTCCAGGTCTCCTCTGCAGGTGCAGGTTCCCAAGGCCTCAGGCCGTCCTCGACTGCTTTTTCCAGGGCACAAGAAGGGCGCTGGATGGAAAGTGGAGCTGCTGGGATTAGAACCAGCACCCATATGGGATACCATCATGTGCAAGGCGAGGACTTTAGCCGCTAGGCTACTGCACCGGGCCCAAAATACTTTTAATTGTCTTCTACACACCTAAATTAGTGCACATTCTTGGCAGTGGTGTGTCAGAGTAACTCTTTAAACATTTGCCAACACTGCACAGTAGCAGTCATAACATTTTGAAAATCTGGGCAAGAATGATGTCTTACTGATTTTTAAAGTTTTATTTAAATTTCCCTTTGAAGAACAGTGCTGGAACTGCCTCAGTAAGTGGTCGTCTTTGATGCTTTTGTCTCCCCCTCCAGGGCATGGCCTTTACCTTACAGGAACGGCAGATGCTCGGGCTGCAAGGACTTCTACCTCCCAAGATCGAGACGCAGGATATCCAAGCCTTACGATTCCATAGAAACCTGAAGAAAATGACCAGCCCTTTGGAGAAGTAAGGCAATTGGCTATTCAGTCTTTGCTGATTTTCTGATTAGAAAAATTGGAAACATCCTGATTTAATTGGCTTGAGAACTATGTAGTCTCCTAATGAAGTTTGTATTTTTGTCAGTTAACTATTTTGTGACAGTTGTGTTTCCTTCACTTCAGTGATGAGTTCTGCTGTGTTCTGTGCTGTGACAATGACAGGCCATCTGGAACAATGGTAGGATAACAGGCAGAATGAGAAAGAGACCCAGATGTTCTCAGCTGTAGTGGGAAAGGGGAGTCGAGGTGAAGGCTGCATTTTTGAGCTGTGACAGTCCTAGGTGAGGATGCCAAGGTGAGTGAGGAGGCCGACTCCATCCACAGCGTGCCTCGGGCGAGTGCCCAACACTTGCAGCTGCCTCTTCCGTTTTGTCAGTCCAGTTCTGAGGAATCTACTTCACCTTCACATCTACCTGCTGATCCCGTTTCTGCCCCCAAACTAAGTAGGAAATAAGAGGATCACATCTAATTTCTACAACACAGTTGCGTACTGATTACATGCCACATGCTTGACTAGCTCCTGAGAAGTGTATGAGGTGATGGTTCTAGACTCGTGGTTTCGCCAGAAAGTCAAGAGAAGTGGAATGAGTGTCAGGCAGGAAGGAGTAGGAAGCCTGACGTGCATCTGTGCGGAGCATCGCAGCGTGCAGGAGAGGGGCTGCAGAGAGCATGCCCAGAGCATTCCCCTGCTGAACTTCTCAGGGAGAGCTTGCCTTCTGGACTGTGCCTGTCCAGGCAGAGGGTGTTATCCAGTGTTACAGCTCCAAGGTGAGAGTTGTGGTGCCTGGGAGAACTGAAGTAGGTCCATACATCAAGGTGAAAGAGAGAAGGCAGAAGTCTTATTAACTGTTTCAGAGGTTTGAGCATGACTGTTGGTATTTGGAAGCCAGTAGAATTTCAGGAGATTAGCACTGGTCACACATTTTTAAGAGAAGAAAGCATTAGTGTGAGGAAGCAAAGTTGTATGTGTAAAGAACAAGTTCTTGAGGTAATCTGGCTAAGAAATGGTGGGCTTGGGCTGAGTGAGGACAAGGAGAGAATGGATCTATTTAAGAGATAGCATGCAAGCTCTGTGTTGCTTGGTGATTTGCTAGATTGGGGAGAGGGAAGGTAGAATAGACTCAGGGTTTTCCATTTGTTCAGATGATATGAGAAGAAACTAGTTTGAGGAAATTGAATGAGATAGAGTTATTTCCAGATGATTTGTCGGTTTCAAGTCAGTGTTTATTCTTTAAACTTCATTTGTTTTTTTGTTTGTTTTTGTTTTGTAAGTATTTGAGAGACAGAGCCTCCATCTGCTGGTTCATTCCCCATATACCCACAACAGCTGGGGCTGGACAAAGGGCTCAACCCAGGTCTCCCACATGGGTGCAGGAATCCTTGAACTATCACTGGTGTATCCCAGGGGCTGCTATGGCTGGAAGCTGGAAGCAGGAGCTAAGAACCCAGCCCAGACATGTCAGATATGGGAAGTAGGCATCCCATCTGGTGTCTCCACCTCTAGACCAAAGGCCTGCCCCTAAACATTATTTTAAAAATGTTATTGTGGGGCTGGTGTGTTAACTCAACTGGCTAATCCTTCACCTCTAAGCACCAGCATCCCTTATGGATGCCAGTTGGTGTACCAGCTGCTCCACCTGCTTGTGACCTGGGAAAGCAGAAGATGGCCCAAGGCATTGGGATTGTGTAGCTGCGTGGGAGACCTGGAGCTCCTGGTTCCTGGCTTCAGATTGGCTCAGCTTCAGTTGTAGCTATTTGGCAGGTGAACCAGTGGATGGAAGATATTTTTCTTTGTCTCTCCTCTCTCTAAATCTGCTTTCCAATGGAAAAGAAATAGATCTTTCAAAAAAAAAATGATTTGTGCTACCTCTGTACTCTGAGCATACTTTAAAATGATAATACTTTTATTCCTCCTGGAATGTAAACTTGAGGACAGAGGTCACTTTTCTTTTTTAAAGATTTAAAGAAGTGGAGCAGTAGGGGTATGAACCAGTGCCTATATGAGATCCTGGCACTAGTAAGGTTAAGATTAGCCTGTTGAGCCATTGCACCAGGCCTGAGGGGTCTCTTCTTACGTTCTTGGAATTCAGAGTAGCACGTGGTGAATATTCAGTGAGCATTTGGATAAATGCTGCTTCATTCTGTTTGTTTACCCACCTGTTAGAATCTGAAGATTTATTCCTTAGGGTGAGGGCCTCATGGTTGCCTTCGCATTTCCAGTGCCTTTTATTTTTTATTTTTATTTTTATTTTTGATAATCATATTTATTTTATCAGCCAAGAATAACATTAACAAAGATGAAGAAAGCTTTAAAATATAAGATACAGTAAAAAATATAAGCAATTACAAGTGTTATTACATATAATAGCGCTCTAAGAGAAAGCATTAGTATCTGTTACAAAAAAAGAAATCAGGAAGGGGAGAAGGGGATGAGGAACACGGGCAGGAGGGAGGGCAAGATGAGAGGTGCCACTGTGTTCCCAAATCTGGATTCTGAGATACGTGAAATTTGTTCACTTCACATAAATCAAATCAGTTATTTTAACAAGATATATTATGGCAGGAGGAAAAAACTGGGAGGGAAGAAAGGGAAGGAAGAGAGGAATCCCTACACCTACAAAACTATATAATGGTACACTTTTTAAAAATGGAAAAAAAATGAAAAAAAAGATTGATTATAAGAAATGTCTCTTATAGGCTTAAACCAAAATTCTAGAGAACTTTCTGAAAAATATACCTATATCTAAACAATTTAATCATGCAAAGGAAGTACACTAAGATAGAAATGGGGGAAGGCCCGGCACAATGTCTCAATTGGCTAATCTTCCACCTCCAAACGCCAGGATCGCATATAGGTGCTGGTTCCTGTCCTGGCTGCTCCACTTTCCATCCAGCCTTGCTTGTGGCCTGGGAAAGCAGTGGAGAATGGCCCAAAGCCATGGGACCCTATACCCTATACCTGTACCCGCGTGGGAGACCCGGAAGAGGCTCCTGTTCCTGGCATCCAAATGGCTCAGCTCTGACCATTGCAGTCATCTGGGCAGTGAACTAGGTGATGGAAGATCTTTCTCTCTGTAGATCTGTCTTTTCAATATTAAAGACAAAAATGCTGAAGTATTTTATCCTTTTATATTGAAGTAATCTAAATAAGCACAAACCTTTGTAAAATTCAGAAATACGTCACACTGTTTTCATTTATGTATTCATTCATGTTCAAATCACTTTCTCCTTTTTTTCGTAACTTCCATCACAAATGTTGTTCTACGCTATGTTTTGGTAACTTTTACACAATATTTCTTTTGAAGTCAGAATGACATAGAGGGGAAGGGAACGAGGGGCAGAGGGAAGGATGGATCTTCCAGTCATTGGTTCATTCTCCAAACTGCTCCAACAGCCAGGGCTAGGCCAGGCTGAAGCCTGAGGGCTGGGAACTCTATCCATGTGTCCCATGTTGGTGGCAGGGACACAATTAATTGAGCCATCCTTTTCCATTTGTCAGGCACTTTAATAGAGAGATAAAGTGGGACAGCAGAAATTTGAACCAGCATTTTGATACTGAATGCAGACATCACAAGTAGTAACTTAACTCATAGTGCCACAGTATCCACTTCTTGCTGGCTTTTTGTTTGAAAATAGGAAATGTTGAGGTAATATTTCAGATAAGCAGGAAACTGTATTATATGTCATGTACTAATCTTAGGTCATTGCATTTTACTGAGGTTTTTACTAGATTTAAATTCCCCAGTTATACAGTGTTACAATTAGCAACAAGGTAATAATCTTCAGGAATGCAAGATGTAAATAGGAATTATGATGAACTATGCCCAATTATATTTTACACTAAGCAAAATTTTGTTAAGGCAGTGTACACAAGTCACACATTAAACTCTGAAACAACACAGAAAAACCTATTTGTACTTAAAACAGTTTGGAAAGGCCCAAGAACAAACTATAGTGGTTGACCAGAGTATTGTTTCCTGTACTTTATGGTGTTAGAATTACTTGTTAGTCCTAAATAATACTTTTGAAATCTAGATTTAGAAACTATACCTGGATTACATTTTTCATCGCAGTGACTGCAAGTGTAACAGACTTAGGAATGTAGAAAGGGGCAACGGACTGAGCTAGAACTAGATGTTTAGCAGAGTGTGGTTAGTTAAAAGTGTCTGAGTTCTCCATAAAAAGCTCCTCAGGAATAAAGTCATCAGGTAAGGATACTAGGTCTGCATCCATTGTAGAACCCTCAGGTGTAGAATCATCCAGTAAGCGAGTTGAAGAAGTGGTCAAAGTTATTTGTCTTTCAGCTGCCATTTCAATGTAACCTCCAAGCCTCTGGTCTAGGACCTTACCGGTCCTGGACAAAATGAAATGTAATGGTGCATTAATTATAACCAGTTTGGACTGATAAATAGTTTTTCTAACTAGTGGAGGGCCCTGGTGAATGGGATGGAAGGCCTTCTCTTGGGTCCATCTGGTAAAGTTTGAGGGCGCCCACTCAGTTGGAAAAGGAGGCTGAGTAAGGCCTACAATTGCATGGTGACATTGAGGGCAAAAGCTAGCTCTAAACATTCGATCTAGGTCACCTTTGGAATAATCATTTTGAACAAGCCTAGTCTGTTGTAACCAATGTGGTAAAGCTAGAGTGGGGAGAGATGGCTCTTTACAATCAGGGCAACACCACTTATCTAAAAACATCTTTGCTGCAAGGTGGCACAATCAGTCAACAAGAAAGAATAGCACAAAATGTCATTAAAAGCACAGTTAGTTCTTGTAACAAAGCTAGCTTACTTCAGACTTTAAATTTGAAAAAGCAAATTTGACAATGATTCCCTATCTCACACTTGGAGCCTCTGTGTCTAATAAAATATGTAATAGTAAGGGAAGAATGCCTTATAAACAAATAACAATGCTCTAATTAAATAAGTTTGTGAGAGCTCCGTAAATTAAATGGTAAATAAACCTACTATCATTAAATAGATGTGAAGAGAAGCAATTGAGTAGAATTCTATTAGTCAACAGATTTAGTTTAGCTATACAAATGGAGGCCTATTCCACATGCCTCAGAGAAATTTCTTCAAGGCCAGTTCTTTTTTCTTCCTTGAATGCTAAGCCCAGTCTCAGTTCTTAAAAAGCAGTCCGTACAAGATAGAATCCATTGCCTTCCAGTGACACGGATCATAAACTTTGAATATTAGTACTCAAGATGGAGTCTGCGTCAAGAGGACAGTTTTGAGTGAACTCAGACACTAAAGATGCTTTCCAGATGGATCTGCACAGTTATCTCAGTTGGCGGTATTACGTCCCCCTCGATGTTTAGTAGTAGTAGTTGATGAGTTTGATGAGTTATTGCTTGTTGTAGGTGATTTTCATTAGTCAGGAAGGTAAACTGGCAGAAAGTCTTAGACTATTTCTCAGAGTATTTCTAATAAAGTTCTACCTTGTTACTCTCAAATCTTGACACAATCTCTTAGAAGTACTTGATGAAAGGCATCGGGTCACAAGTTGTACTTGGAATTTCAGAAATGTGCCAGATGAACTGTATTCTAGAATTATGACCTCTTTAGGAAATCTTCAGTCAAGGAGAGAAGCCAGGAGCCTTTTGGGTAACAAGGCCACAAAATCTATGCTTGAGCGTATTCAATCCCCCCCAGCGACTGTGGCACTACGTGTTATGTATATTATTCGAGCAGCAGTGGGAGGATGGGACCCAGTGACCTTTAAGTCAAAAGGTGCCATGGTTGGTTATCTTTCACACTGACCCCTGTGTGCTCTCCAGTGCCTTTTATTAAACCCAGCTTACAGTAAGGGCACAGCAAACTTCAACTAGTGTTTGTCTTCATTTTTATCATCCACTACTGTTCAGTGCATTTATAGTTCTGTTGGTTTTAGTCCTCTGTGTTAAGCAGTAATAATTTAGAATTTTGTTTCTTTCTGGTATAGAAGTAAGGTGCAATTATTTTAACATGACATGGGCTGGCTTGAATATTATTTCCTCTGCTTCATTTCAGATACATCTATATAATGGGAATACAAGAAAGAAATGAGAAATTGTTTTACAGGATATTGCAAGATGACATTGAAAGTCTCATGCCAATTGTATACACCCCAACAGTTGGTCTTGCCTGCTGTCAGTATGGACACATCTTTAGAAGACCCAAGTAAGCCTTCTTTTTTAGAAACATAAATGTAGGTGATTACTGTGTAAGAGAAAATCTTAACACCTATTCTGCTTCTTAAATTTATGGGTCGTAGTCTTAACCCAGATCACATTTCCCAATTCTTAAAAGCTTAATTGGAGTTAGAAAGGGTCAATAAAAATGTGACACGTTCATGTGGAAGTAGAAGCATTCATTCCTAACTTCCTTTAAGTCATTGGATTATTAGAGGAAGTATATGCTCTGTGTACCAAAAATTAAAAGTCTTAATTGTGGTGACAGATTCTCTGGAATCTTCATTAAAATATTTGACGTTCTGGCAGGGAAAGGGATTGGTTCATTCTCACCCTCTACCAACATTCATTTCTGTTGTTAGTAAATGTTGAATTTTTACTTTAAATTGTTGTACACCTGCAGATAAAAATGTGGAAAGAGTACTGACCCCAACCATTGAGTGGGGTTCTAGGATAAGCCACATGACCCTCCATGTGCTACAGGGATCCCTCCAAATAGCAGAGCCTGTCACAGAACTGTGCTGTACAGAGAGAGAGTTGCCATTGCCTTGATTCACTCCACAAATGCTTGCAGTGACTGCTGGCCAGGGCCAGCGCTGGAACTGAGAGCTCAATCTAGGGATCTCCTGTGGATGAGAGGAACTCAGTCACCTGAGCCATCACTGTTGTTTCCTGAAGTCAACCTCGGCAGGAAGCAGGGATGTTGAACCCAGGCACTCTGATTTGGGATGTAGCATGTTAGCTGCTAGGGGAGACACCTGCCCCCATGATACTTCTTTTTAAACTTACTTATTATCTTATATAAATGCTGTCTTTTCTCAATGTGAATTTTCTTAACTTACTCCTCTAGCCTATGTGTTTTACCCCAGCCCAGTTAACATGCTGATTTAATGTATTAATTCAAAAGAGGTCTAGTAACATGGATCTTCAGTATCCTCTCAAGCAGTCGGGTGGCTGTCAAACCTCACTGTGCATGAGAAATGCTGTGAGGCATACCTAAAATGTTGATGTCTGCCAGCTCTCATGCCTTTTCCATCTCCAAGGTTCTGATGAAAAAGCAAAAGTCTTGAAGTGGTACAAATTATTGTGGACAGCCTCTGTAATGATTGTGCTGCAGACATTCCCTAGAAGACACTGTCGTTGTAACCTATGGGCAAGTCTAAAACATTTCTGTGAGACCCAGCTGTTGAGCTTGTCTGTACTGTCTTCCTGGGGCAGTGGCTCTCCATCCGGATAAGGCAGGGCAGCTAAAACTACGTCACCCCGCCCCACCCTGGCTCAGGCTCTGGCCATGAGCGAAAGTGTGATGACATCGTGACTGCCGCTGATGTGATTCTGGTGTTCATGGGAGCTGACAGGAGGCCTGAAGGACGTGGAGCTTGGGTAGTGCCTGAATATCACTGATGCAGTACTCTGGGGATTTTCCTGTGGTTTTTTACACAAAATATGATCAGTAAATCTCAGAATTCTAAGCCAAATAAATCCTGATCCCTGGTAGAGGACCCGAGTTCAAGGGCAGTAAGACCTTTCCCAGACCTGTTTTCTAAAAGTTGTATTTCCTTTTTCTCTGTCATTGTCTCCTCTCCTATTATTGTTTTTTTTTTTTTTTGAAACCTAGATTGACTAGATGAATTAGATGCCAGTATATTATGTTTAAAATTAGTTTTTGTTAATTTAGGCTGTATGTCATATCAGCATATTTTGACAAATACACCCTGTTTTAATTTTTTTGATGAAAATGAAATAAAAATAAGTTCCCTTTGTTCCGATACTTCAAGTGTCATTTTCTGTGTGAATTCACTGCAGTGTTCTTCCCTCCTTTATCCTTCAGATTTTCTGTTTTCAGTTACAAAGGCGTTTGACAATAATATGCTTGCCTTATTATGTGCTCTTGTATTGGTGGTTTATCTTTTCTTCGATTTTTCCAGCAGTGTCTTGATTTTATTTGAACAGTAAGATGTAAATAATTTTCTTCTGGATTCAGATGTTCCTGTCATTTAACAGTTGTCTTCATAGTAGCTGCTGGATGAACAATTAATTACAGTTTGAATTCAAATTAAGTGATAGAAAACAAATCAGTGTGACTTAGCAAAAATCTGCTTGGAAAATATACTGTGTCTTGATTTTATTAGAATATCTAATTATTCCAGTTATAAACAGAAACTTAGAAACAAACCAAAAACTTGTGAAATGCAAAAGTGTTTTTGTTCTGTTGCAGGGGATTGTTTATTTCAATCTCAGACAGAGGTCATGTTAGATCAATTGTGGATAACTGGCCAGAAAATCATGTTAAGGTACTCCTAGCATAATCCTCCTCTTCCTAATGCTTTCTCCTTCCGTGTAAGTTACTCATCAATCCCCCAGAGTGGTTTTGTATTGTTCCTCTGATTTATTTGCACTAATGTATGTGCAGTTGAGTGCTTTCTACTTGAGACACTGATAATACTAGTAGTTAGTTGACAGTGTAGAGCATGTCTCTGAGGGTGATTGGAGCTGGAGTACAAGGTGGGTTTGCTCACGATGCACACCCCTTCTGCTTACTCCACATTCCTTTTGTGTTTCACTGTTGTTATTCCTGGGTGGAGGAATACACAAGAGTCACTCAATCCTACTGTAGATGGTGTTGGAGAGGACTGGTTATGCTTTTTTTCTTTTCAACCTAAGATCAGTTTAGGTCCTTACCAAATTTAGCAAGTAGAAGCCTTGGTCAATCTGGTTGTCTTTCATAAATTAAAATGTCATAACTTATTTGGAGGTGTTGAATGGAATTTTTGATTTACTATGAGTAATAACCTTACTCACCGTTATCACATATATCTTCCTTACCAAAGTAAACATGATGAATTATCAGTTTAGATAATCTAGAAAAATGTGTTTAGACAAGCCCACAATCTCACCTTAAGCCCTAGTGGGATGGTGTGTGTGTTTTTCCTAGATGATCTTCTCTTCTACCATGCAAAGGCTTTACTTGCTGGGCCCAGGTGATTATGCTGAAGTAGCTGCTGTTTCTTCGCAGACTTGTATTTTTTCTGTGGCAAGCTGTTCATTAAAATGCTCTTCACCTGTCTCGTATATCAAATCTTTCTGGAAATAAGTTGGCCCTGCAGCTAGAAGCATTCATTTCCTAAAGCAGATCGAGAAAAAAGTCGTATCTAGTTCATTCTATTTTTGATGTCTCTCAGTAGGCAGAAATCTTAGAATGTTAGGTATGCTTACTCGATTTACATTGGAAGTTAGCCAGGAAACAGTTTTACTTTTTAAAAGCACGTGAAAAATACATGAAGAAAATCCATCTTTTCAAAATGCTTCTCTTTAAGGACCCATTTTTGACTACTTCTAACTTTTTTTTTTCTTTTTTATAATTAAGGCTGTTGTTGTGACCGATGGAGAAAGAATTCTGGGTCTTGGAGATCTGGGTGTCTATGGTATGGGAATTCCAGTAGGAAAGCTTTGTTTGTACACAGCCTGTGCAGGAATACGGCCAGATAGATGCCTGCCTGTGTGTATTGACGTGGGAACTGATAATGTGGTAAGTAAAACCATTTTCCCATTTGATCTTACTTGAAATTTTGTCACATTCTTCTTTTGAAGGCACAACAAAGGAGACTGAAGTTTCTTGAATTATGGCAGTAAAGCTTAAAAGATTATATTAGTGATGTTTCTATGTTTTAAATTTATGTCTCAGTTGATTATATAATCAATGATTTTGTTTTTCCATTTGTTTTCTTTTACAGTCACTCCTGAAAGATCCATTTTACATGGGCTTGTATCAGAAGCGAGACCGTTCACAACTTTATGATGAACTGATTGATGAGTTTATGAAAGCTATTACTGACAGGTATTTTCTGATGAAGGTGGTGTGTATGAAAGCAGCTGTAATTCAGATAGGAAAGGAATGTTAGCTGCATTTTGTTTTCCTGTATCTCTTGCAAAGATGAGCAGGAGCTTCAGTTGGGAAGATTTGCGCTCTCTCCTGTTGCTGGGATATGCTTTTCTTCATGAGCTATCCAGCATCTCGAGGGAAGCCTGCACTCACTACTCATGCCTCCTCTCGGCCCTTGGCACCCAGGCCCACCCTGCTGTGCCACGAGGCTCACCTGCAGCTTCCAGTGTTTGATTGTCTGGGTCTCTGGTGCTCTGTCTCCACCTCCTTGCAGAATGGACTAGGTCCTCCCACTGCTCTCTGCTCAGAGAGCTATTCTCTTGACAGTTTCTCCCAGCCATCTCTGTCATCTACTGCTTTTCTCTCTGCCTTACTATGTAGATTACTGCACAGTCCTTTTCTTGAGTATTATAAGCCATGACATATGTGTGTGGTTCTTACGCCTATGGAAAACCCATCTCTGTAGTCCTTTTGTGTTTCTGAGATCTGCATTTTGTAACCTCTAGAATCTTCCATTAAAACATTCTGCTGCTGTCTCACATTGGTGTCCCAAACTAAATAGCTCCCCTCCCCTAGCAGTCTCTTTGGTCCTCTGAGCCTCCATTAATGCAGTAGCACCCACTATGCTGTCATCTCCCACCCTTTGCCTGCACCATCCATCCTGGTGCAGCTGACTATTGCTCCACCCTGGTTGGTGGACTCAACTGCAGTGCCTCAAACATACGTCTCTTTTCTGCTGTCACAGCCTTGCTATTTAATCTTCAGTTTTCTTAAACTAAATTGATTATTTACAACTGTTTACACTGTTTTGTTTTGTTTACACGAACAATTAAACATTTTGTCAATGGTTTTTTTCTTGCCATTGGATATAAATTCTGAGCTTTTTACCTGTATCATCTAACTGAGGACTGCACTTTAAATTACTGGCATATAGAAGCTACTCTAAAGTTCATTCATTTTCAGAGTAAACTTGATGTACCCAACACTGACCTTTCATCTTCCCAGAAATTGTTATCGTCTTTTCTCTCCCCGCTGTTATCCTTGGCAATCAGCTAGTATCCACATGGCTGCTGGCCAGGGTAGCCGCCTCTCCCCCAGCTGGTCTTCACGACCGATGTCCGTCTGTTTCTTCTGGTGTCTCATATGTGTCCTTTTTTTTTTTTTTTAAGATTTATTTATTTATTGGAAGGTCAGATATACAGAGAGGAGGAGAGACAGAGAAGAATATCTTCCGTCCGATGATTCATTCCCCAAGTGCGGGCAACAGCCGATGCTATGCCGATCCGAAACCAGGAGCCAGGAACTTCTTCTGGGTCTCCCACCCGGGTGCAGAGTCCCAAGGCTTTGGGCCATCCCCAACTGCCTTCCCAGGCCACAAGCAGGGAGCTGGATGGGAAGTGGAGCTGCAGGGATAAAACCCTGCACCCATATGGGATCCCGGCTCGTTCAAGGCGAGGACTTTAGCTGCTAGGCCATGGTGCCAGGCCCACATAGGTGTCCTTTTTGCTTCCTGTAGCTTCTCTCAGATCCCTTACCCTGACCACACAGTGACTTCCTGGACGCTGCTTTCTCCTCTCTCCACTCCCGCTTGTACTCTCCCTCACCAGTGGCTGGTTTTGTTTTTTTTTAAGGTCTTTATGTGAATTCTTCCCTCCTCTACAGCCTTTTTAAAATCTGTAATAGTATTTTTCATGAACGCTTTAGAGACTCTTGGTAAACTCTGAGTGTGAAGTCAAGAATGTTGAAAATTCAGGGTCACCAAAGTACACCATACTTTTCTTTCTACATGTTTACATTTTGCTCCTCTTTCAGAGCCCAACTTGAATCCCGCCTCCTGTTCAGGCTCACCCAGATGATTAGAATACAGCAGATACTGTCTTAAAACTATTTCATATATATGTGCCTGTGATGTAGTTTAATTATTAATGCAATGAGACTATATAACAAATACATACTTTTTGAGACTAAGATCCAAAGAGTCTCTTTCCTGTTCAGGAAGTTATTTAGCACTTACACATGCTGGCTACCCCTCCAAGCTCTTAGAAATATATATAAAAGTCAGTATTCCCTTTGCCCATCGTGGTGCAACGTGGTATTTAAGTACCCACTGCTCCTTCTTCCCTTCCCGTTCCCCTTGCGTTTCCTTTCGTTCTGTCCTATTCCGTTTTGATGAGTGATAGATTCTGTGTTTTGGTTCTACTCTTCCCTGGTTCTGAAAATGTTCAGATAGCCCTAACTGAAGTAGCATAATAACATTTTTAAATGCTAGCATAAAGAATATTAAGAAAACTGTGTAGTTGTGGTATTTTCAACGCAAGCATTATGAATTTTGCTATTTTTAGATATGGCCGGAACACACTTATTCAATTTGAAGACTTTGGGAATCATAATGCATTCAGGTTTTTGAGAAAATATCGAGAAAAATACTGTACTTTCAATGATGATATTCAAGGTAAAGCAAAAAGCAGATTTTTTAAAAAAGTTTTTTATTTCTACTTTTAAAATGTTTTGAGGATGTAATTTTTTGCTTAATTTTTTATTTTCCTTACAGGGACAGCTGCAGTAGCTCTAGCAGGTCTTCTTGCAGCACAAAAAGTTATCAGTAAATCCATCTCAGAACACAAAATCTTGTTCCTTGGAGCAGGAGAGGTAAGCTTTTACAAGCTTTTTAGAGTTTAAAAACAACACTATTTCTATTTAGAATTGGAAAATTGGCTAGTGTTCATGTTTTTAAAAGCATATAAAATAAGAAATTAAATTTTAGAGAAACTGTCATAACACATTAGCTTGTTTGTGATTTTTAAGGGGAGAATATCTAAGTACGCCTCATAACATAATCTTCATATATAAAGAAATTTGAACATTACACCATTCTCTGGTCTTTCTGTTTTGTTGGGCAGGCTGCTCTTGGAATTGCAAATCTTATAGTTATGTCCATGGTGGAAAATGGCCTCTCAGAGGAAGAAGCACGAAAGAAAATTTGGATGTTCGACAAGTATGGTTTATTAATTAAGGTAAGGTGTTTAAAACCTGGAGAAGCAGAAGGTGCTCAAGATTTGTTTATTTACTTGAGAATTTGGAGAGGGAGAGAAAAAGGGAGAGAGTTTTTATCCAATGATTCTTTCCCCAAATAGTTACGTTGGTCAGGGGTGGGCCTGTTGTCACAGGCAGGATTCTGGTGGTACAGGCAGAAGTCATGCTGTTTTTAATTTGTGTGGTTTTAACTAGTATGTTTTTAGTTCAATTTTTAAAACATTCCATTTTTTACAAATCTTGACTCGCTAGACTGTTTGTATCAATTAGGTACCTTCTGTTGTAATCTCTACAGAGATTCCCCACTCACTTTTTTTTAAAGACTTGCTTCATATTTCAATCAACAGCCTCTATGTTGGCAGCAAATTTTATTCTTTGTTCTCTGACTCTTTAAGAAATCAAATAGCCATTGTCTGGGCCCAGTGTGATAGTGTAATGATTAAGGTCCTCACCTTGAACGCGCCGGGATCCCATATGGGTGCAGGTTTTTATCCCGGCAGCTCCACTTCCCATCCAGCTCCCTGCTTGTGGCCTGGGAAGGCAGTTGGGGATGGCTCAAAGCCTTGGGACCCTGCACCTATGTGGGAGACCCAGAAGAAGTTCCTGGCTCCTGGCTTCAGACTGGCTCAGCTCCAGCCATTGCGGCCACTTGGGGAGTGAATCATCGGTCGGAGGATCTTCCTCTCTGTCTCTCCTCTCTGTACATCTGCCTTTCCAATAAAATAAATAAATCTTTTTTAAAAAAAAAGAAATCAAATAGGCATTGTCCATGAATGTCCAAGGATTTGATTCTTCTAAACCTAAGTTATTAATAGGAGCTTGGAGCATTCTTGTTAGATTAGCAGTGCATCTGAGATTTGAGCAGAAATTCTTTTTTTTTTTTTAATTTTTTATTGGAAAGGCGGATATACAGAGAGGAAGATCTTCCGTCTGATGATTCACTCCCCAAGTGCGGGCAACGGCCGATGCTATGTGGATCCGAAGCCAAGGAGCCTCTTCCGGGGTGCAGGGTCCCAAAGCTTTGGGCCATCCTCGACTGCTTTCCCGGGCCACAGGCAGGGAACTGGAAGGGAAGCGGGGCTGCCGGGATTAGAACCGGCGCCCATATGGGATCCTGGGCGTGCAAGGAGAGGACCTTAACCACTTGCGCCACCGCGCCAGGCCCAGAAATTCTTTAACCTTTTGTAAGTCATAATCCTTATAGCAGTTGTAAAAATCTGTGGACCTCTTTGCCGGAAAAAACACCTGCATTCCTGATGCCATTCCTTGGGTATTAAAGAACTCTCCCCAGCTGGTTTAGTGCCCTTTGGGCTTGCCAACCTTCTTTGTTCATACTTCTCATTTGCTCAGGAGTGTCATAGGTGTTACACTGTATAACACTGGGAATGACACCAAACTGTTTCAGAGTTGAAACAGTCTGACACATAATGCTCCTTTGTTGTTGTGTGTGTCTGGGAGCCGTGCAATAGTTAAATGCCATTTTCCTCTGTGGAGCAAACTGTCAGTGGACTTTGCTTCAGTTCTGCCATCTTGTTCATAAATAGTACCAATATTTTAATAGTACAGAAAACTAAAAGAAAAAGTAGTATATGTAGTAGAAACTCCTCAAGTGCATAAATTACATGTAAAATACCAGTAGTTTCAAATGTATTAGCCATTGTGATAAGACTTCACATTTTATTACCTCCTTTAATCCTCTCAGAAATCCTATGAAGTTTTACACATGAGGAGACTGAGGTTAAAAAAGGTCAGGAGACTTTTCCAAGATCCTCACCTTGTAAGTGATGGAGGTGGGATTCAACCTCATGGCCTGACTGTGAAACCCAAACCACAGAAATGTGCTGTCTGCCCTGGAAAACTGAGCTACCATATTTACTAGTGCAGAAAATACAAGAATTTAAGAGAGCGCATGCTTTGAGGGAATATGTATGTATTTCTGCTGGTGTATCACTAGTGGTTCTTTGTGCATTGCTAATTTTATTAAAGATTGTTTATTTGAAAGATTTATGTAGAGGGATCGAGATATTTATATAAAGAGAATATCTTCCATTTGCTAGATCACTCCCTAGATGGCCACAATGGCCAGGGTTGGGCCAGGCCAAAGCCATGAGCCAGGACCTTCTTCCAGGTCTGCCATGAAGTGGCAGGACCCAAGCACTTGGGCCATCTTTGCTGTTTTTCCCATAACTTTAGCAGGGAGCTGGATCGGAAGTGATGCCTGTATTGTATCACACCTTTACCTGACACACCACAGTGCCAGCCCCTGTGCAGCAGATTGTCATCAAGTGTTTTGTTACTGTCACACTGCTAGGTCAGGTCTGGAATGAATGTATATCGATGTCTGTGCTATGTTACCCTCCACACTGTGAGAATCCCTGTGCACCTGCAGCTTCAGTGTATTTCTCACTCCTCTAGCCCAATGAAAGGATCGTAGACTTTTATGGCATTTGAGATTTAGTATGACTTCAGAGTAAGTGATATTTTTAGAAATAGAAAGTACCTGGGTATAATGGAATTTGTTTAATTAATGAATTAATTAGGAAGTTAAAGTGACAGACGTGTATCCCATTTACTGGTTCATTACCCCAATGCCTGTGGTAGCCTGGGCTGGGCCAGGCTGAACTAGAAGCCAGGGACTCAGTCTAGTTCCCCTGAATCATCTGCTGCCTTCTAGAATGTCCATTAATAAGCTGGAATCAGGAAGAGAACCCAGATTTGAAGCCAGGCATCAGATATAAAATGTGGACATCCGAAGCACCATCTTTTTTTTTTTTTAAGATTTATGTATTTTTATTAGAAAGTCAGATATATGGAGAGGAGGAGAAACAAAGAGGAAGATGTCCCGTCCTCTGATTCACACTCCAAGTGGCCACAACAGCGAGAGCTGAGCTGCTCCTAAGCCAGGAGCCTCCTCTGTGTTTCCCACACAGGTGCAGGGTTGCAACGCTTTAGGCCGTCTTTGACTGTTTTCCGAGGCCACAAGCAGGGAGCTGGATGGGAAGTGGGACCACCAGGACTAGAACCGGTGCCCATACTGGATCCTGGCTCATACAAGGCAAGGACTTTAGCCACTAGGCCTCTGTGCCAGGCCCCCAAAGCAGCATCTTAAAAAGTTATTATTGACTAATTGATTTGAAAGTAGAGTTACAGGAAGAGAGGGAGACAGGGAGGTCTTGCATCTGCTGGTTCGGTCCTCAAAGGGTTGGGCCAGGCTGGAGCAAGGAGCAAAGAACTTAGTTACATCTTCTGCATGAGTGCTGGTGCCTAAGCTTACAAGCCATCCTCTGCTGCTTTCCCAAGCATATTAACAGAAAGTTGCATTAGAAATGGAGCAGCTGGGACTCCATCTGGAGCCTCTAATGCGGTGATTTCATTGCAGGTGACAGCTTGTCCTCTGAGCCACAACTCCACTCCTCCCCACTAGCAGCATCTTAACCTCTGCACCAAGCACTCTCCCCTAAAGACATTCACATAGAAGCAGTGTGTAGTTTGAGATGAAGTCTTCGCCCTTAATTTTCTATGTGCATTTACTAGAAGTTTGTATTTTATTTAAAACTTCAGGGGCGGAAAGATGACATAGACAGTCATCAGGAGCCATTTGCTCACTCAGCTCCAGAGAGTATACCTGATACTTTTGAAGATGCAGTGAATATACTTAAGCCATCAGCCATAATTGGTAAGTAAAGTTGTTGGCAAATCATTCTATTTCTTAACTGTGTGCTGTTATGTGTAATTACTAGAAATAAACTGGTAGATTTACCTAGCTTCCAGCATATGTTCCTGTGATAGCTTTTTGCTTGCATGTATAAGAGTCCACAGTTTGTTACTTGTATTAGAAACTGTGCAGCAAATCATGTTTTGCTTTTAGAGTTGATAAGACTGTTTAGCTCAACCCTTACCAAGACTAAGGTTATTTTACAGTCTACACCAGGGAAATCTTGGGCATAGTCAAGAGATATTCTTTGGCAACAAAGATGAAAGCTTACCATGTGTTTGAGGCAGGCATCACACACCTGACATCAGACTATACCAACAAGGCATGTTCTCAGCAGGAAATGTCAAATTCTTTCAAGTGGAGTTGTTAAGCTTCTACCTGTGGATTGAAATCTACAATCCTTGTGTTTTATTGGCTTCGTGTAAGAATTCTATTAACCTGTTAAGTAGTATAATATGGTCATAAAGAGTAAGTTCCTATGGTCAGAAAAATATCTGTATCCACTTCCTTGTTGCTTAGAACTCACAGTTCATTTTGGAGCAAAAAGAAATCTTGTATCTCTCAGTCTGTTTCTGTGAAAACTTAGTATCAGTACCTAAGCATTGGTACACTGAGTCTCCCCACCGTGAAAGGGGAAAGGAAAAAGGATGAAAAATGTTCTTACTGGGTGGATTAGACAAGTACTCAACTGGGGCACCACTGGCTCTCTCTCCATCTCCCCACAGGGCACTCTGTTCTAGCTCCTGTCACCATGTTATGATTATCTTACTGTAAGCTGCCTGCAGTATACTCATTTTTATAGTCTCATGGTCTGGTATAGTGTCTGGGACATGATAAACTTAATAAAAAGTGAAGCAACTGTATCAAGAAAGTGCATTTCTTTTTAAAATTTATTTTTTATCCATTTGAAAGGCAGAGTTAAGAAGAGCGTGAAATAAGAGAAAAAGAGAATCTTTTATGTGCTGGTTCACTCCCCAAATGATTGCAGCTGCCAGGGCTTGCCAAACTGAAGCTATAAACCTGCAGCTTGTACCATGTTGCCCAAATTGAGGCAGGGGCCTAAGCACTTGGTCCATTTTTGGCTATTTTTCCAGGTGCATTAGCAGCAAGCTGAATCCAACATGGAACTGCTGTGACTCAAATGGCACCCATACAGGATGCTAGCACTGCAGATTATGGGTTAACCCGTTGTGCCACAATGCTGACTGCCATTAAAAAATGTTTTGTGAAAGAGTATGCATAGCATGAAGGGTTCTGGCTTAAACATTTTTATTTGGATGCAACAATGCATTTAAGTCACTGTTCAAATAGTCTCTAGGACTGTTTCCATCCTACAGAAACTCAGATTCTGTACCCATTAAACAACGGCTCTTCATTTCCCTAGCCCTGGGCAGCCACAGCTCTGCTGTTTGCTTCTGTGTGAGGCTCTAGGTGTCTCATGTAAGTGGAATCAGACAGTATGTATCTCGTGTAACTAGCATCCTTGAGAATTATCTATGTTGTCTACGGCCATACCACCCTGAACGCACCCGATCTCGTCTGATCTCGGAAGCTAAGCAGGGTCGGGCCTGGATAGTACTTGGATGGGAGAATTATCTATGTTGTAGTAAATTTCATACTTGCAATTTTAGTCAGCGATGGAAATAATTCTAAATTATTTTCTATTTCCTGTAATGTACCGTGTGTATAGTAGACAGTAGACACATGGGAACTTACTAGTATTTTAGAATTTTCAGATTTGAAATTGCTTTCCTATAGCATTCTTAGCAATGCAAAAATCTTTCTGAGGGAATGAATACTTTTGCTTTGTCAGGTCAAAGCCTTTTGCAGAAATTGTTGAGAATTGCTTTATTGTACCTGTAATGCAGCTGCCTTTTCTTCCCTGCCCTCCATCAACAGGGGTTGCTGGTGCTGGCCGACTTTTTACTCCTGATGTAATCAAAGCCATGGCCCGAATCAATGAAAGACCTATCATATTTGCGTTAAGTAATCCTACGGCAAAGGCTGAGTGCACCCCTGAGGAAGCATATACTCTCACAGAGGTATTGATACTCATGTAATTGAGTATCCCTGTTGTTTCCTATTAGCTTGTTAGTTGTGCATTCCTGCCCAGTTCTTTTAGTGGCTCCCCAGGGTCTGCAGCACGTCGTTTGAGTTGTCAAGGTCTGATGTAAGTTATTGCCTCTGTTGCTTATCTTGACCCTGGGCAGTAATTAACTATATGACTTCATGCTTTCACACTGTCTGCCTTACTGTTGCACATTTGTGTTCTTTCTATTTTAAGCCCCCCAAATCATGATTATTGATTTTATAAGTTATTTGTTGAGGTTTGCCCACATTTTAATTTTTCTCATTGCTATTTTTCCCTCCCTGAATGTCTGGGCCTCTGTCAGCAGAACGCCTGCCTTTTGTATGGATCTGAATAATTCTCTTGATAATGTATTTCTCGTTCATTTTGAACAATATTTTTCAGTCAGCATAGAAATAGCAACTGGGGGATCCTTAATATCACCACTTTGCAGGCGTCGTTTTAGTGTTCTCCTTGAGACAGTGCTGGGTTTTAAGCTCTTGCCTCTAGTGGGCCTCAGTATGGTTTCCTTGGAGCTCATTCTCCCTGGGGTAGATTGAGCTCCTAAGCTGCTCGGTGGCTGTCTCGTTGTTTTTCTGTTTTTGGACAGTAACCAAGTAGTGTCTCTGCTTGGTTCACGATCTCGGTCTCCTTCTTCCTCGGGGCTCCAGTTGCACGATCAGACTTTGTCACCCTGTCTTGCAAGCCTCTTGCACTGCTTACAACAGTCTTCATTCTGTCTTATGGTACTTAGTAGCTGTCTACACTTAAAGTATTTTAAGAAAATGAAATTTTTAGTTTTTAAATTTTCTTAACATTTTTAAGCTATATTGAACATACATATACTGTGCACAAAATGAACATCTAATAATTTTAATGATAGTATTATGCTATACAGTAAATTAGGCCATGATTCCAAGTAGTAATATGTCAGTCTACTTTACCATATGCTTTAATTTTGTCTGAATTCTGCTCAGTTTGCTCTCCACATTAAAGAGATAAAATTGACGTTGTTTCTTTGGGTTGACAGGGCCGGTGTTTGTTTGCCAGTGGCAGTCCATTTGGGCCAGTGAAACTTGAAGACGGGCGAGTCTTTACTCCTGGTCAAGGAAATAATGTGTATATATTTCCAGGTAAATGTTACTATTACTTGTGTTATAGAAAAAATTGTTAATTCCACTAAAATATCCTATGTAATTATTTAGCATTTGAGATGAATAGAAGCAACAGTATTTTTAGAAGTTTGGTATGAATGTATGAGAATTAATATATTAATAAGGAGCTATGGATATCTAACTTACTGTATGTACTCTGAAAACTTTTTTCATATTGTTACACAAATTTGTTTTTTTTTATTATACAAATAACATAGTTTAAGGAAATCCTCAGTTAAGTTTATGGAAAATGTGTGTTATAGAAAAAAACTACATAAGGACTTTAAAATTTGGGAGAGGGCTACCATTGTGACATACTGGGAGAAGCTGCTACCTCTGACAATGGCATGCCCTGTGAACTCCAGCTCATTTCCTGGCTGTTTCACTTCCAATCCAGCTTGCGTTGGTTGCCCAGGATGGACAGCAGCCTGAGTGTTTGTGTTCCTGCTGTCCACATGGGAGACCAGGTGGAGCTCCTGGCTGCAGTCTGGCCCAGCCCTGGCCATTACAGCCATCCGAGGAGTGAGCCAGCAGATGCAGGACCTCTCTCTGTCTCTCTGTTACTGTGACTTTCAAATAATAAATAAGTCTAAAATATTTTTTCTAAAAAGATTCTTTAAAATATTTTTTCTGAAAGAAACTTTTCTTTTAATTTCAAAAACCCAAACTTTAACAATATTTATTTTTATTGGAAAGTAAGATTTACGGAGAGAGACAGGGATCTTCCATCTGCTGGCTCACTCCCCTTCTGGCTGCAGTGGCTAGAGCTGAGCCCATCCGAAGCCAGGAGCCAGGAACTTCTTCAAGTTCTCCCATGTGGATGCAGGGTCCCAAGATTTTGGACCATCCTTTATACTGCTTTCCCAGGCCACAAGCAGGGAGCTGGATGGGAAAGTGGAGCTGCCATGATACAAACTGGCACCAATATGGAATTGCAGAGCATGTAAGGTGAGGACTTTAACCGCTAGGCTACCACGCTGAGACCAAAACCCAAACTTTTAAACACATTTATTTGCTGCTTGTTTATTTATTTAAAAGGCAGTTACAGAGAGAGAGAGAAATCTTCCATCTGCTGGTTCATTCCTGCAAATGACCACAATGACCTGGGCTGGGCCAAGCAAAGCCAGGAGCCAGGGTACTCCTTCCCAATCTCCCTCCGTGTGGATGTCAGAGCCTACTTTTTTGGAGACCAGTATCTGCAGCCTTCTCAGGTGCATTGGCAGGGACCTGGATCAGACGTGGAGCAGCTGGGACTGGAGCCCTGGGTCTGATGTGGGATGCTGGTGTCACCAGCAGCAGCTTAACTCACTGCACTACAGCACTAGGCCATTTTATGCAAACATTTTTAAGTACTCTCATGTATGTTTCATAAAAACATCTAAAACTTAAAAACTAGAATAAATGTAAAAAATAACCGATGAACTAGCGATAAAAGTAAAAAATAGATGTGGAAAATGGAGAATTAGCTAAAACTTTAGTTATTAACAATTAAAAAAAAAACAGCCAAGGCTTTGATAATGCCATACATAGTCCAGCAATTATAGCAACTGAATGAAATGATTAAAAATAATAAAACTTCTAGGGCCTAGCGGCATGGCCTAGTGGCTAAAGTCCTCTCCTTGAATGCGCCGGGATCCCATATGGGCGCAGGTTCTAATCCTGGCAGCTGCACTTCCCATCCAGCTCCCTGCTTGTGGCCTGGGAAAGCAGTTGAGGATGGCCCAAAGCCTTGGGACCCTGTACCCGTGTGGGAGACCCAGAAGAGGTTCCTGGTTCCCGGCTTCAGATCAGCGCAGTATTGGCGATTGCAGTCACTTGGGGAGTGAATCATCGGACGGAAGATCTTCCTCCTCCTTTCTGTATATCTGACTTTGTAATAAAAATAAATAAATCTTTAAAAAAATAAATAAAATAAAACTTCTAAAGGGTCAAGAGGTTAAGATACCGACTTGAATGAAATATTGGAGGATTCCAGTCAAGATAGGGCCAGCGTGGGCGCCACGAGGCAAGCTGGCATTTCCAGCCAGCTCCGCAGTAGGAGTACTCAGAAAAAATGTGACTAGAAGGTAAAGCCAGGCTTCTCGTAGCAGAGGGATAAGGTTGGCACCTTGTCAAAGAAGATTCTAGAAAATGACCTCCTACTCCGCCCTCAAAACTCTGGGGATGGGATTGTTCACAGCAAAAGTGGGCAATATAGAAAATCTCAGGCTTTGGTTTTAAATCGCCAGTTCCCACAAATACCCAGCAGAATGAGCCAAACTTTTCTCCGAAAGAAGATACCAGTTTCCAACCTTCAGATTATGTTAAAATTAAATTTTCAAATACAACCCATTTTATAATACAAGTCAGAACAGCAGAAATAACAGAAAAGACAGAAAGTCTAGCTAGAAGATAAATACAATGAAACAATATCATTATTGAGTTAATAGAGATAAAAGCTAAGCTTGAAGACATCAGGCAACTGCCAGTAAATTCTAGAAGTAAAAATCACAATAATCTAAACTGAATGAATGAGATTTATAGAACAAAGCACAGAGATAAAAAGTAAAATGCAAATTTATGCAAGATACACTTTTTTAATCAATAAATTTTTTAATTGAAATGCTAGAAGAAAATGAGAATGAGCCGAAGCAGCATTTACAGGCCTCATGAGTCAGAATTTCTTAGAACTGATTAACGAGTCCGCACTGAGAAGCACAAAAACACGGGCAGGATCAACCAAGAAATCCACATCTAGGGATGCCGTGGTGAGACTTCAGTAGGTCACGGGTAGAAAGCTTGCCTGCACTTGCTGTTCCTGTCTGCGAGGGTCAGTACTAGCAGAATGCTGGAGGGAGGAGCCAGAACCAGCAATCAGTGAACTACTGTGGAGGGGGGTGCAGGCATCCTAACCAGCGTCTTACACATCAAGCTCAGTCTCTACCCCCAGAATTTTCTTTTAGAAATGTGAGCTCTTAAAATATGGCAAGATTGGTAGCAGGACTAGAAGAAAAATAAGTACAAAAATCGCCTAAGAATAAAGCGAAAAACAGGGGATAAGCCATGAGGGTTAGTCCACGAGGTGCAGTACGACAGCTTTGCTAGACAACCAGAAGGAGTGGCGGCCAAGGATTTGTTTTATCTAGACGGTCGGAATAGAGAATACATGACGTAGCCAAAGTAAAAGTCTCAGGAAACTGACTGAGAGTTCTGAAAAAATCAAAGATAAATGCAGGACAATTATTAACTTCCAGAACCATAGTTATCACAGAAGGAGAAAACCAACCGTGATGTGTTAGTGTCTGGCTCGGCTCTGAGTAGCATCAGTGGAGTCCCAGTAACAGACGTGGACTGGTAATTGCATCAAAAGTATATATTGAAAAGGCTAGAAGCATGAAAGAGGACTAAATGATTATTTTGCATAGGAAAGTATTCATGATATCTAAAACTTAAAACCAGAAGAAATGGTCAGCTAATAGAATGAGAAGCAGTTGCTTTTCTTGAGTAGGAGACAGGCTAGAAGTGGGCTGGAATTGATAGCTTTCTCTAAGAAGCACTCAGTATCTTAGAAAGTATGAACACTAAATTGCGGAAAGCTGTTTTCTATGTCCGCGTGGATCATATGATTCAACTTTAATTCTGATGTCTGTTTTCCCTGGGGGAGCTGTTTGGGATGGGGATGGGTTACAGGGATTTGACTCCTTTCATTTGAAAAGTGGCCTTACTAAATAAATTGTTTACAATCTATTCCAGGTGTGGCCTTAGCTGTTATTCTCTGCCACACCCGGCATATCAGTGACAGTATTTTCCTAGAAGCTGCAAAGGTAAATGTTTTAAATATCATTGTTTATTTTATAAAGGCCAAATTAGTCTAAACATGCATGTGTCTAAAAATTAAAAGCAGAGAGAAAATTAGTTAAATCTACCTTATTAATGAAAAGAAAGCCAGCCATTTATTGCTTTTTAACTTCCCTTTCTACTTTTAAAGGGAATTAAGCTTTTAAATCATGATGTCAGATATTTGATTTTAAACTTAGTCTAAGCCCTTCCTAAACTGAGACTGTACTGGTGTGATAAGTATTGGGATATCCCAGTGCAGCAGCACAGATAAGATCCAACTCCTTGCCTGTTCTGGGCAGACAGTGCTCTTTCTGCCTTTGGGGTGCTGGCAGGCCGACACTGCCATAGCAGTTCTGCAGAATTCACATTAATACCAGAACTGTTGCCTATTTTCACTGTAGCTGTGGTGACTAAGTTAATCTTTGCATGTAGGAAGGAGACTGTATTAGTAAGTCGAAATCTGGGTATTTATTGTTTAATGGTGAATAGTTTTCTCTAATGATTTTTCCATTTTACTAATTTCTTTTTCTATTGTTGCACAAGCCGTTGTTAAGTGCTAGTTTTTTCTTTAGGCACTAACAAGTCAATTGACAGATAAGGAACTAGCTCAAGGAAGACTTTACCCACCGCTTGCCAATATCCAGGAAGTGTCTATTAATATCGCTATTAAAGTAAGTAGTAATGCATACCTCTTCACTTTGAGTATAATGATATTTTCTTGTGCAAGCAATACAAATCAGTTGGAACTTTGGCACGTCTAGTAGTATACAAAGAAGGTTTTCAGTGGCTCATTTTCTTCCTACCAGAATATAACACACTTTATCATTGGCTTTCGTTGCCAAGTCTTTTTTCTTTGTTAACATATACACGTATACACACATGCAAGAAATCATTGTTACCTCTGCTTATAATTAATTTCTGACTACACTTTTTCCACTTAAGATATTATAAATCTTTTCCTTGTGAGTTAGTAATTACTTTTATGTGCATATTCCCTTTTCAAGTTCAACATGATTTGACCATTTTTCTACTTTTGGACATCTGTTTTTAGTTTCTTGTTAGAAATAACACTGTGTAGTGAACTTCCTTACAGATGATCATTCTGTGTATTTGTGATGGTTCTTCATTATGTTTCAGTCATCAAAACCAACAATAGTAGTGTGCTGAAAGTTTTTGAAACGTGTTGTACAGTATTGTTTCAGAAAAATGCATTGATATTCATTGCACCAGATACATGTGGGCATTATCTTTTTCCATATTTCTGCTGTAACTTAAGCATATTTTTAAATTATCCATATTTAGTAACTAAAACTTATTTTTCAGTATATTGAAAGTTTTTATTAGGTTTTATTTATTTGAAAGACATGGAATGAGAACTCTTATGTGCTGCTGGCTAGCTAGGATTGAGCGAGATTGAAGTGCAGAACCAAGCTGTACTCCGTGCAGACCCCAGGGGAGGAAGACCCTGGTCATTTGACCTGTCAGAGAAGCCTCCCTGATTGTGCATTCACAATAGAACACAGTAGAACTTAAATTGGCTTATTAGATGGAACTGTTAGGGAAATACTAAATAGTCATCTTGGCTGCAACATGTTAAACTTTTCATGAGATTACAGTTGATTTTTTATCTTATTTAAGTTTTACAAAGTTTATAAATATGTCAGATAATATTTTTATTATGAAAAAACAAAAATGCCTTTTTTCTAAACTCATCTCCCTGTGTTGTAAGTTGTACGGTCTATACTTGGCTACACAATAATCTTACTTACTTTGCAGATAACAGAATACCTGTATGCTAATAAAATGGCCTTCCGATACCCAGAACCCGAGGACAAGGCCCAGTATATTAAAGAGAGGATATGGAGAAGTGAATACGACTCCCTGCTGCCGGACATGTATGAGTGGCCAGAGTCTGCGTCAAGGCCTCCCCAGATAACAGAATAGGAGCCCTCCCAGCAATGCACAAATATTCCACCTGCTTCAGGGAGCCTCTTGGCTGAACAAAGACCCGGTGTTCCCAGACCTACGGTGTTTTCTGTGTTTTATTCCTCCATCCCCACCGTTTGTGTGACTTCTGTTTTTCCCCACGAGTCCCATGTCTGGTAGATGTGTTGACTGTACTGTTAAGGCCCATCAGTGCCCTACAATTGCCAATTGTATGTTGTGTTAATTTATAGCCCATGGCACACTCAAGAGATGTTACAGAGGGATCTGTAAATGTCTTCCCTTGCATTCTTCATGTTTGCCATGTATTTACTGTTATAGGTAATAATCTACTCTCACCCAGTTCTGGTAGGGCTACTACAATAGAAATTTGCGTCTATACATCTGAATCAGAATTTTGAAAGCAAACCACATTCCAAGGAAGATTTGTTAGCATATAAAACTTTTTTGTATCTGCTTCATTTTACATTCATTCTCTGAAATTTATGATAATCAGATCTAGGGAAACATGAAAAATCTACCCTATTTGTTTTTTGAAACTAAATCAAGACTCAACTCTATAGGAAAACAGCAGAAACTACAGCATTTATATAAAAATCATTCTCAACAGTGTCTAAAAAAAGTTATCTGCTTAATAAAAATAATTGTTTCAGCTATGTTAGTTTACTGCTCAGCTACAAATTTAGGTTCACTTTATTACAAAAAACACGTGTTTTCATCTTCTTTCACTACTTTTGATTTTAGTATGCCTATGGCACATAGATTATGGCTAACTTCATATGGCTTCTTAAAAATAAATTATGTTTCAGGTCTCAGCAATTTGCATATAGGTAGAGTAACTATATCTTTATTCTAACAGCAATACCATTACTTGAAATAATTTTGGAATGTTCTGGAATACATTCCTTTTAATATTCCTTTTAATGGTGGTGACTCTGCAATGAAGATGAATTTGTTTAAAAATCACCAAAATTACTTTAAAACAAAGTGAACATGACTTAAGTAGACCAGAAAATGTTGTATTTGGTCCCAGAAAGTTGCGTAATAATTAGAAAAAAAATAACAGTTTTCCTCTGGCTTGCAAATTGGAGGGTTCTAAAAAAAAATCTGGAAGCATTTTGAAAAATAGTAAAAATGCTGTAATATTTGTCCCCTGGAATTGCTTCACGAGAACAAAAATTTTAAACATGCTCATTCTTGAAACTAACCACAGTAAGATTTTCAGAAGTACTTACCACCCAGTTTGGGGGTCGTTCTTCCCTTCTGTAGAGATTGACGAGTGGTGATATTGAAGGTGATTTGTGTTTGAAGGATGCTTGAAATGGCACTGCGTGGGGAAATGCAGTTGGTTAGTCAGTACAACAGATGATCAATGGCAGAAATCTGCTTCATAAAGTCACAAGTTTTTTCTTTTGGCTTCTTTTACTTAAAGGTGAAAGATTTATCTTTTCCTGTTACCTTTGTTAAGACAGAATACCCCTAACGAAGCAATCTTTATTTTAGTTTAGAACTACAAGTACAATCCTTATGGTTTTTTGCTAGTGCTTATTAAAGGCAGGAACATCTGCTGAATTGAAGTAATAACTCATGTTTGCTTACTAAATATGACTAGTCCAGTCTTTAACGGAAATTATTAAATAGCTTAAAGGAAAAAAGCTAAATGGTATATAGCCTGTTTAAGATAAAAATCTTAATTCTTAAGCTTTGTATAAAGAGCTATTATTTTCATTGTTATTTATGAATTGGTAATTTATCAGTTATCAATTATTGGAAGCAAATTAAATATTTACTGTTTAAGCTAAGAAACTTTTAGCATATAAGGTAGGAGGGGGAGGCCAGTAATGGCGTTAAACTGGAAAAGAAACTAATAAAACATCTGTGCCTTCTTTGGGAGCTTTTACCAATCAAGAATTATTTTGAAAAACAACGAGAAAGTCTCTTTCATTGTTTTTAATAAAGAAGTCCTGCAGATGAGTGGGAAAAAGAAGACATTTATTTTACCTGCTGCCACCCCATAGTATGAAACAGAATGGCTGACTAGTGAAAGTAAGGTTCATTGATAAAAAGGGGAGTTTTCTAGATCTGGGTCAAAGTGGTGTTAATGGAAGGGATGGAGTCTTAACCCAGAAGGTGCCTCTGCCTCACTGGGACCCTTTGAAGTGCAGATCCCACCCACCCTCCTGTCCTAACACTGCCTTAAAGCCCTGTGGGACTTGTCTGGAGCGCTGCAGGGGTGAGGAGGGGGTACACTGGGGCTGATGCTACATTTCTGGCTGGCTCCCAAGTGGTTTCTGTGCTGCTCCAGAGCCCTGTGTGCAGGTGTGCAGGTCAAGCCTAGCGCTCACACAGCATGTCCTTCAGTTGATGTAATGAAGATCACCTGAGGCTAGGCTCTTGGCACACAGTAGTTAACATCTAGAAGTAGTGGTTTCATTTTTATAGGATATTTAACCAGGACAAAAATGGATACAGTACTTGCAGATGTTTCTGAAAACTGAGAATAGTTTCAATATAAATTACAGATTTGTAGCCTATTACTCAGATGAAACCTAGCAACCACTTGAGTTGTCAAGTGGGCATTTGTTTCCTGTTAATTCTATCCTTGGTCCTTTCAATAACCAGCATTTTAACAGTTTTTGCAGAATTGCTAATGAATTAAGAGCAAACACTAAGGAGTGTGGGTCATGAATCATCGTTGTCAGATAACAGTGTCCCCAGAGGGATGGAAGAAGAGCAGTGTGAAGCACAGAATCTTGTCTTTGAAGCATGATTTTCTTCACATCTCCTGGGTTCTGCTTGTTGACCAAAATGGAATCCACTTCTTTGAGAGTCTCCTACTCGAGAATAATAATATGCTTTCTAATTCCCTTATTGGGATTCTGTGTCGAAGGAAGTGGAAGGGTGAAATAGCACTACAATCTTCTCCCCATCCCAGTGAAACCCCCTCATGTGCAGGTGTGGCACCTGTTGACTGCGGAAATCAGCCCCATTCATGATCTGCTCTGACTCTCCGCTGACTCGATAACACATACTCCATGTGAGGGTTAAAATGAGAACCTCTACAGCTGGCCTAACAACATCCTTAAAACCCTCATGATAATGCAGCTGCCTTATCTGAAATCAGCATAAGGGTTTTGTTTTTTGGGGTTTTTTTGTTTTGTTTTGTTTTTTCATGTAACCAGAGAGGAAGCCCAGTGCTTTGTTTGAAATTTCAGTATACTCAGGTGGGCCTAATGAGGACATGGCTCTTATTCCTTAATTTCCTTAGTTCTTCTATGAGGTTGTACTTAAACTAATGCTTGGATTTTTGCAACAATTATTTTCCTTCCTTGGATAAGGAAAATTAGGCCTCTGAAAGAGACAAGTCTATGGAGATGGGCTACCCATGGGATCCAGTCATTGTGTTCATGACAGCATTCAGTAGACAGCATTTGACTCCAGATGTGTTTGTCATGTAACGAGTTACTGTAATATTTTCGTATTTAATCTTTCTTTTTCTAAGTGACTACATATTTGCCTGTTATTTGTGAAGTTATTCCTGAGTTCCGCATACCTTTCTAATTTTAAAAATGAAAGGAAATTTGTAGGAATATATATATTCCTCAGTTGTCATGATTTCCTTTTAGGTTGTAGAAAAATATTTCCTCTTTCATAATTTTAAGTGTAAATTCTAACAAATCATTGATTCTTCTATGACCATTGACTTGTCACCAACAGAATTGTATATACAAGGTGACTTGAATGTTTGTGGAGAGTAGAATTTTAAGCATCTTGATTCAAAAAATGTGAAAATATGCATGTAAGGGTTCTTCAAAACATTCATGCAAACATGTGTTATGAAAAAAATCATGCAGGGATTTAAAAAATGTTTACATCAGAATCATACCTTCTAATTTCACTTTTCCATATGAAGTTTGAAGTGTTCTTATAGAGTGAAGTCAACAACAAATTAAATGTGATGGGCAGCCCCTAACTGTGTACCAGGTGTTCTGACTGTTCCAACTTACTGTCATTCTGTTCCATTGCCTGTTCCATGTTCCTGTTCTGTTCCATTTACAGATAAGGATGGGCACAGAGAAATTAGGCAACAAGTATCTCACAGCCAGTGGCCAAGTTAGACCCTGGGTTCAGTCTCATCTCCAAGGCAAAAGGGCCTCTGTATAGCTGATGTTATCTGAATTTTAAAGACCTTCAACAACTGTTATTTCAAATGAAAATGCATTACTTTCTTTGAAAATCAGTCTGAGGTCTTTTCTTTTAAATTTACCAGTTCCTTTGTTGTTGTTTTCAGCATCTTAAGTGTTGGCTATATAAGTTAAAGACTTGGTTTCGAATTTGATAAATTACACCAAAGATTCACAGTAGCTAGTTCACTGACATCTTTTGCTTTAATAATATTCACAGATCCATCAACTGCTGTCACTTCTCTGCAAATCAGTTTAGCAACATTTACATATTCTAATGCTTTCTGGCTCCGCCAGTGTCAATAGTGCATCTGTATTGTAAGATATATTTTAGATATCTCTTGTATGCTTACAGGACTCCTATTAAAAGGTGAGAACAATAACAAGTAGTCCTATGAAATGTATGGATAGAATAAGCAATTTCTGAAGAGACCTATTCTAGCTAAACATTTCAACAAATTCTGCTCAGTGTTTTGTTACACTTTGCCTAAAAACCTTTAAAATGAACTGAAATTACAACTATAGTTTTCCAGTTGATACATTTTGTGTTTGCTTTGCTAAGGACTCAGTTACTCACTGTTCATGGAAACCACATACCGTGAGCCATTGCTTAGCCAGCCTTTCTCATCTTTGTGTTTAAGATAACATGATGGAATGGATAGTTTTGTAGCTGCTCATGGGAATGCTGGTTAAGGGAAAGCCTTGTGTAGAACATACTGTAATAGATTGACTTGTTACAGATGGTTCTAAGAGTTGATCTAAGATTTAATTAAGTGAATTGTCTTTTCTGTCTTTTGTGATAATGAGATGTGTGTGCTCTTATATTTTCTTAGTAAAATTTTCCTATGCATAAAAAAAAGTGCTGGATGACCTTGTTTTTTTAAAGTTGGCTCTGTGTTGGACATTTGTTGGACTTGATGTGATTGGGGCTGGCATTGTGGCACCACAGGTTAAACCACTTGGATGCATTCATGAGTGTCACCTTGTTTCATGACCCAGAGAAACTGAGCCACAAGAGGTGGCACTCGGGCTCTGCCTCCTCCTGTCTTCCCGGGTACTTTGAGAAAGTGAAAGCAGCAGCCCCTGGGATCGGAACTGCTTTTGGACTCTGTTGAAAGTAAAGCATTTCACAGACCTTCAACATCAGCAGGGCCACTGAGACTGAGCCAGGAAAAGAGGACCACTGTAAGAAAACATGGGCATTGTCCAAACCACAAAAATGATGCGACACCTCACCCCTGCATCCTGACTGGTACTGAGAACCGGCTCTTCCCCGTAGTAGTGTTAGTCCTGTGCTGCGAGTTCTTGAGATAACTACTCATAGCATTTCCCTGCTTCGCAACACGCAGTCCCGAGTGAGTCTAACTCCACAGTCCCTCTGCTAAATCACCAAACTAAAATTCCAATCCTGAAATAGAACTTGACAAAGCTTGTAGAAAAGGAATAAAAAAGATAAGGTGCATTTCCCATGAAGCTTTTGAAGACCTCATAATTACAAAAATGATAACTTTTATACACAAGATGGTTTATTACCACACTGTAATAGCAAAATCAACTGGAAGAAACCCAGGAGACTGAATAGGCTACAACTTACATAAAATTTCTCAGTAACTGCTAGATGAATAGCTATAGAAAGAAAGGAGGGGTCTGGTGTTGTGGCATAGCCAGCAAAGTGCTCTTATCGCATATGGTCACCAGTTCTGACTGCTCTGCTTCTGATCTAGCTCCCTGCCAATACACCTGGGAAAGCTGCAGAGGTTGGCCCAAGTGCATGGGCCCCTGCACCCAATTGGGAAATCTTGAAGAAGCTCTTGGTACCCAACTTTGGTCTGGTGCAACCCCAAGCCATTGCAGTTGTTTATATAGTGAACCAGTGGGTAGGAGATGGGCTTCTCCCCACTGCTCTCAGTATGTCTGCTTTTCAAATAAATATTCTTTAAATTTATTATTTCTTTAAAGATTTGTTTTATTTTTGTTGCAAAGTCAGATATACAAAGAGGAAGATCTGGCCAATGATTCACTCCCCAAATGGCTGCAACAGCTGGTGCTGCGCTAATCCAAAGCCAGGAGCCAGGAAGTTTCTCCAGTTTTCCCACACGGGTACAGGGTCCCAAGGCTTTGGGCCGTCCTTTACTGCTTTCCCAGGCCACAAGCAGGGAGCTGGATAGGCAGTGGGGCTGCAAGGGTTAGAACCAGTGCCCATATGGGAATCCCAGTGCATTCAAGGTGAGGACTTTAGCCGCTAGGCAACTGCGCAGGCCCTAAATTTATTATTATTTTTTAAAAGATTTATTTTCATTGGAAAGGCAGATTTTCAAGAGGAGAAACAGAAAGATCTTTCATTTGTTGGCTCACTCCCCAAGTGACCACAATGGCCAGAGCTGAGTCAATCTGCAGCCAGGAACCAGGAGCTTCTCCCAGGTCCCCCACATAGGTACAGGGTCCCAAGGCTTTGGGCCATCCTTTGCTTCTTTCCCAGACAACAAGCAGGGAGCTGGGTATGAAGTGGAGTAGGCAGGACAAGACCCAGCACCCTGCTTACAGCCTGGGAAAGCAGGAGAGGATGGCCCAAAGCTCTGGGACTCTGCATGTGTGTGAGAGAACCAGAAGAAGCTCCTGGCTCCTGGCTTTGAATCAGCTCAGCTTCAGCCATTGAAGCCATTAAGGGAGTGAACCAGGGGATGAAATATCTTCCTCTGTATAAATCTGCCTTTCCAATAAAATAAATAAATCTTTTTAAAAATTCTCCTTTCTTTGGTTTTCAGCATTTTTCACTACAGTGTGTGTAAATCTCTTTGTGTTGTCATGTTTGGAATTTGTGGAGGTTAACTGGTGTGAAAATTACTGCTTTTCAGCACATTTTGGAAGTTGTTAGCTGTCACTTAGCCTATCTTCCCTGCTGATTTCACCAGGCCTGCAATGCTGGTATGCTGAATGTGTCCCACATTGCTATGAGTCTGTCATTTCCCTGAATTCCTTGGCCTCTTCCCACCCTACTTAGCTCACATCCCACTTGTTCCTCACTGATCTGGCTTGTGATCTCCCTGGCCATTTGCTCTTTCACATTTTCACATTGCTGTTTCCCTTTGCTCTTTCACATTGTTGAGGGGCTAAGTGCTCTGATGTAAGAGCCTGTGGTGCCAGCATCCAACATGGGCACCAGTTCGAGTTCCAGTTGCTGCACTTCTGATCTGGCTCCCTGCTTATGGACTGGGAAAGTAGCAGAATCTGACTTAAATTCTTGGGTTCCTGCACCCACCTGGGAGATCTGTCCCACTTCTGGCTGGTGTGACTTTGGGGAGTGAACCAGCAGTTAGATCTCTTCCTGTCTCTTTTTCTCTACTCTTTCTAATAAAAAGAAATAAATCTAGGGCCCGGCATGGTAGCCTAGTGGCCAAAGTCCTTCTTACCTTGCACGCATCAGGATCCCTTATGGATCCCAGTTCACGTCCTGGCTGTTCCACTTCCCTTCCAGCTCCCTGCTTGTGGCCTGAGAAAGCAGTAGAGGATGGCCCAAAGCCTTGGGACCCCACACCTACATGGAAGATGCAGAAGAAGCTCCTGGCTCCTGGCTGTGGATCATCTCCGCTCCAGGCATTGTGGCCACTTGGGGAGTGAACCAGTGGATAGAAGATCTTTCTGTCTCTCCTTTCTATAAATCTGACTTTCCAATAACAAAAAATCTTTAGAATAGATAATTTTTTAAATGTTAGTTGATTGATTCCTGATAGGCATTTTCCTAGCCTGAGTGTAGAGCCTCCTTAAAACCATGAGTCATGACATTGCATATACTCTCTCAGGACTAAAAATAATACTCTCCACCAGGCCAAGCCTAATTACTTCGCAGAGCTTATAAAGAGCACCAATTAATGCTTTGCAAGTGGGGAAGGGAATTGGTGGTTTTTGAGCTTTTTGTCCTGTTTTCAAAAAACCCTATAGACTATTTTAAAGATCCCACTCCCATTCCTTTCTTCCCAGTTTGGTTTGTAATCTCCTCTTGCGCATAAGGCACACAGCAGGCTTGTACACTTAAGAGTGGCCAAGGTAAGTTGCCATCCTGGGAGTTGCCGGAGGACGGCTTTATTAAAGGAGACAGTCGGAACATGTCACCCTCAAGAAACTGCCTCCCCAAGAAGCGCTTTGCTAGGGGGAGAGTCCAGAATTTAGAAAGGGAGGAGTGGGCCAGTCCCTGCTGCTTGCAACATTGTTAGGTTTGCATTTGGCTGAGCAGTTGGGTCACAGGCTGGGATGCCTTCATCGCACAGGAGAGCGCCCAGCTCCCCGCCAGGGCACAGCCTGAGAGGCGTGGTGATCCAGAGTGGTGATCCAGGTCCTGTCCCCCAATTTTGGCCAATTAGAGAATGAACCAGGGGGTGAACGGTCTTTTTGTTCTGCATATTACTCCTCTTGGTTTGTAAAAACAAACAAGGAAAGGAAACCTGGTGACCTCTCCCAGAACGGCTCTCCGGAGCATCCAGTGCCTGGCGGCCTGCCTCAGTGCATGGAGAAAAAAACCTCCCAGGCTTGGTGCCAGTGCAGCACGAGCACCAATGTTTGAGCGCAGGCTCGGCATGAGAAAACAGAATTAAGGGTGGAGGTTCATGAAGGTTCACTGGCAAACAGATTCTAACTCCTAAGGCACCTACATTTTCCTGCTGAGGAACCGGAAGCTTTAATTTTCAGGTTAACACTGGAGATTAAAAATGACACAAAACGAGAGCAAAACATTGGGATGAATACTCTCTTTTTTGAGGGCGCGGGATACAGAGTACAGAGTGCAAACAAACAACAACAAAACGGCCATAGCCACCATCTTGCAGCTAAGTAGGAAGGAAGAGGGCATGCTGGAGCATTCGGGAACTAGGCATCCCTCCTGGGGCCTGCACAGGGGTCGGCGCCACCGAGCTCAAGCCTCCCGCTCGTCCTAGAGCGGCCGCGCGGGAGCCGGGCTGCGGCGCACTTCCGCCCGGGCGTGTCGCTGCCCCGAGGGTTGCTGGGCTGCAGAGCCGGCGTGCGCCTCCCTGGGCTCCAAGCCCGGGCCGCGGGGAGAGGGTGAGTGGGGCCGGGCGCGCTTCATCCGGACCGGTCGGCGCGGCCTCTCCCCGGCGGCTGGGAGCCAGGATGCACCTGGGCCGCCGCCGGGAGACCCCGCGTTCGATGATGCCCAGGGACCCCTGACCGCTGGCCCTGGTCAGCTTGGCCACGCTAGCTGTCCAGGCCGGAGTTCTTTGAATTCTAAGATGGAGGACGGACACGTCCGCCCACTCTCCACACCACAGGGTGATTGCGCGGTGGACACTGCGTGCCTGGAAATCAGGAGGCGGTGGTTCTCAGCCTGGAGACCATCAGAATCACTGGGGAAGTCGTGGTCATCCCGGCTGATGGACAGCGGACCCCGGGACCTGGTCCTTGGGCCCAGGAGCAGATAACAGTTCTGTGCCCACGTTGGAGGTGGACCTGATGCACTGGTGTCTGTCCAAGAAGCTTGCTCGTAAGAGGGCTTGCTACATGCACCATCGCTTAAATAATTGTGTCCCAACCTAGTGGGAGGGCTTTGGTTGCTTGGATTGTTTTTAAACTTTTTTTGTCAAGATTTGTTTATTTTTTAATAGAAAGCCAGATTTATAGAGCGAAGAAACAGAGAGGAAGATGTTCCAGCCGCTGGTTCACTCCCCAAGTGGCCCCAGCAGGCAGAGCTGAGCCTATTTGAAGCGAGGAGCCAGGAGTTTGTCTTGGGACTCCCAGGCAAGTGCAGGGTCCCAAGGCTTTCAACCATCCTCCTTTCCCAGGCCACAAGCAGGAAGCTGGATGGAAAGTGGAGAAGCTGGGATACGTTCAGGAACATGCAAGGCGAGGACTTTAGCTACTAGGTTACCATGCCAGACCCTAAAGCATGATGATGATGATGATGATGATGATGGAATCTTTCAAAGACAACTGAAAATAGAATATTTTGAATTTGCAAGTCTTGTTTTGATCTATTTTAAAGCAAATGTGAAGTAGACCATTCTGTCTTACTATGTAGGTGTTTATTTTAAAAAATAATTCTTTCTTTTTAGAATCATTGCTCTAGCTAACATCTTTTGTGTTATCATCTGTCCAGGAGGGCCAGGTGTCCTCTCAAGTATAGATTGCCCACCGGTGTTGTATGTAACTGGCATTTCAAATCTTATCCTTTCTTTAGGTTTTTTTTTTTTTTTTTTTTACTTTTTTAAAAGATTTATTCTATTGGAAAGTCAGATATACAGAGAGGACAGGAGAGACAGAGAGGAAGATCTTCCATCTGCTGATTCACTCCCCAAGTGAGCACAACTGCCGACGCTGTGACAATCCGAAGCTAGGAGCCAGGAACTTCTTTCCAGGTCTCCCACACGGGTGCAGGGTCCCAAAGCTTTGGGCCGTCCTCGACTGCTTTTCCAGGCCACAAGCAGGGAGCTGGATGGATTTGGAGCTGCAGGGATTGGAACCGGCGCCCATATAGGATTCTGGTGCGTTCAAGGCAAGGACCTTAACCACTATGCTGTCGCCCCAGGCCCTAGTTTTTTCTTTTATATTTGATTTTTGTTTAAGTAATTTGGCCTGTAGTTTCCTACATCATCAATTTTGCTTTTCTCCCGTCCTTGTGGGATCTGTCAATAAACTGGGGTAGTATCATTTTTCAGGTTCAGATCTATATTTTGGCAAGAAAGACCTCATCAAATCTCCAGAGTATTTGTACTACATCGCCTCAGGAGTTAGATGTACGAATGGAAGCCAGGGTTGCAAGGTGATTGACTGGGGACTTGTGGAAGGATGCCAGCTGCTAACTGCCGAAGGATATCCCCTAATGAAAGAATGGGTTCTGTGTCTGCAGATGGAAGTCTCCTTACCACTTACTGTTGATCTTGGAGTTCTGGGAGTGGGGGCGGGGGTCTAGATCGAAGCCAGATGGCCCAGGAGCTGATCATTGTTAAAGGCTGGTGATGGATGGGGACCCTAAATGCACTGTACTACTTTCTACTCTTGTGGGTAGGTATGATGATTCTCTGTTGTTTTTGAAAAGTGCCAGTGAGTTCACGCCAGCCTGATGCACCCATCATGCAGTGGTCCTCCCCTGGCCTTTCACTCAGTGGCTCTCAGGTCTAATGGCATGTTTGCATCACCGGGGGAGAAGGTTCCCCGCTGCCTTGCACCCCTTACACACAGAAGCAGGTGTCTCCCCCACAGAACTTCGGCTGGCTTCTTCTAGGATGGAATCCAGTCACACATGAGTTTTAAAAGCTGTCAGGGAGACCTGCTTCTGCTCCGAGTCCGTTATTTGTTAGGAGCTGGCAAGTGATGGCACGAGGTTAACTTCTGCATCTGAGTTTTAAAATGTTTTAGCTTGTTCTTGCCTGGGCCTCCATCGGAAAACCTGTGCAAACTGAGCCGTTTACCCATTAGGAAGGCTTCATCTTGGAGATGGAGCTGTCGAGTCACCCGTGGGGAGGGTACGTGGAGGTTCCCCACAGCCTTATTGTGAGGGGATATGTGGGCAAGGGGTGAGAGCTGGTCCCCAAAATGGGAAGGAAGGCTAGGTGACATCCACTTAGAAAAGCAGATCTGACTTTACGCAGCGTGTTTCATTTTAAAAAATCATTATAAAATATGAAATAAAGTATTAGTACCAAAGACAATACTGAATTTTTAAAATAATCTACTTCCGGTTTATACCTCCATCATTTTAATCACTTCTAAAATAAATAAACAGTGTTGACTTTCTTATATTAAACAGTATGCAGAAAAGTGAGATTTGCACCATATCCATCTGTAATTTTTATGCTGTCATCGCTCCAATAGACCTGACTGTTACCTGCGCTGTTAACAGTAGGAGTAGAGTGGATGTAGCAGTAGGAATCTGCCGTGGAGTACTGAGCCCTTTCCCTCCTGACATGTGCCGAGTGCTGCCATATTCCAGCCACCTTAACCATATCACGGAAAGCATCAGTGTACATACCTCCTTTGTTTCTTCGCAGCAGATAACAGAAAAGGGGGTGGCTGACTTAAAGTGTGTTGGAACCAGTGACATCGTTAGAGTCTTCTCCCAAAGCCAGAGCAGCTCATGTTCCCATCCCCAGTAACGCGTGAGAATGTGTGTTTCCTCATTCGCCCTCTTGCTGGCTTGCTCTGGCTAGCACGGCTTCACTGGCCTTGGTCGCTGATGTGTGGAAACCAGTGCCTGTTTGTTGAGTTTGTGATTTCAGGAACCACTCAGGCACTAAGTGGTTTCATGCATACTCTCTGGATTTTGCACACGGTTCTTGTATAGATTCTTGCAATTTTCTCTTTTTTTCTGTGGATGTGTCAAATGCATCTGCATATATGTATTTTTTAAAAAGATTTATTTTATTTTTATCACAAAGTCAGATATACAAAAAGAAAGAGAGACATAGAGAAAGATCTTTTGTCTGATGATTTACTGCCCAAGCAGCTGCAACGGCTGATGCTGAGCCAATCCAAAGCCAGGAGCCAGGAGCTCTTCCGGGTCTCTGACACGGGTACAGAGTCCCAAGGCTTTGGGCTGTTCTTGACTGCTTTCCCAGGCCAGAGGCAGGGAGCTGGATGGGAAGCGGGCTGCCGGGATTAGAACCAGTGCCCATATGGGATCCCGGCACTTTCAAGGCAAGGACTTTAGCTGCTAGGCTACTGCACCAGGCGCTTTATATGTATTTTTGAAGTCACCAATGCCGTGTCGTAAGGATATAATTATCTCCTGTAATTTTTTTAATAAGATTTATTTATTTATTTTTATTACAAAGCCAGATATACAGAGAGGAGGAGAGACAGAGAGGAAGATCCTCCCCCCGATGATTCGCTCCCCATGTGACCGCAACGGCTGATGCTATGCCAATCTGAAGCCAGGATTCAGGATCCTCTTCCGGGTCTCCCACGCGGGTGCAGGGTCCCAAGGCTTTGGGCTGTCCTCGACTGCTTTCCCAGGCCACAAGCAGGGAGCTGGATGGGAAGTGGGGCTGCCAGGATAGAACCGGTACCCATATGGTATCCCGGCACTTTCAAGGCGAAGACTTTAGCCGCCAGGCCACGCCGCCAGGCCCCAGTAATTTTTTTTTTTAACTTTGGATTATGATGAGTTTTTTTTTTTTTCTTTTTACATGTAGAAGTTTTTACATGGTGAAAATGTTGGTTTCAATTTCTAAGTTTCCTGCTATGCCAATAGAGGCCTTTCTATTCCCCAGAGTTTTGTGCATGTATCCTATTCTTTTTCAACGTTTTATTGTCTTTTTTTTACTTTTAAATGTATACCCATGTAGAATGTATTTCTGTATGCAGTACAAAGTGAGGGTCATGCTTTGCTTATTTCTGTAAGAATAACCAATTATGTGAAAGCTGTTTATTATAAAAGCCTCGCTTTTCTACTCTTTATATATTGATTTCTACCCGGAAGTGTGGGAGTTCCTGCCGCTTCCTTTTTGTGTCAGTGACATTTTGTTTTCACTATACCTGGTTCCTGCTAATATCTAGATGGCAACTCACTGCGCCTTTCCGTGATTTTCTGAGATTTATTTTTTAACCTTTTAAAAATCGGTCTTCTAAGAAAACTCCCACGCACTGATTGACCGTTCCTGACAGCCGGGCCCGGGCCGGGCTCTGGAGGAGCATTGAATGAGGTCAAGGCTTCTATCTCCTGAGTTGTCTCCTGCTGCCACCCAGGCGCAAGTTTCCAGCAAGCCAGAGGTCTGGGCCAGGCACTTTTTTTCCTTCCATGTGATCTTTGCCTCCTTTTTGTTCCAGGATAACCTCACTAGAAATCTGATCGTGTTTTCCCTAGATGTATGGACAGTAACTGGGGAAGGTGACCAGGAACGTGATGTAAGATCTCTATCAAGGAACACACAAAAAAATGTATCTCTGAATCTTTTAGATACTGTTCCTTATCCTGCTGTCTGCTTCTAGTAGTGGGTGAGTTTGGGCTCATTTTTAAAAGTGAAAAAAAATTTTTTTTTCATTTAAAAAATGCTTTGAAAGGTACAGAAAGACAGATATCTTCCATGCACTGCTTCACTATTCCAATGCCTCCGGTGGGTGTAGCTTTACCAGCCTGAAACCTCAGCCTGACACTCGGTCCAGGTCTCCCTCCTGGGCGACAGGGCCCGAGTAGTTCATCCATCCCTGCAGCTGCCAGGATGCTGAGAGCAGAACTAGCAGGCATCCCCGGGTGCCTTCTCACCACTACACCAAACCCCTGCCCCCTCATTTCTGATTGGCCTGGATGTTGCTAGACCTAAGAAAAGCTAACCATGTTTTTAGCATTTACTTTTTACTTAGTTTTTGGTCAAATTTTCTTATTATATTAGTTTTTCCTCAGAACCACAAGTTTTCCTCCCTTCCATCAATGTGGATAACCTATAATTGGTTTCAGATGAAGTTCCAATTTGTTCTCATGTGTTCTGTTTAACATGCGCTCCACCGTATAAGCATATCAGAGAAAGCAGATACATCTACAAGTAGTAAATGGAATAGTAGCAGGAGCCGGCTGGGATCTGTGCTTCGAAAACGTTGGTGTGGATCACTCAGAATAACGGAATCTGTGTGGCCCAGCAGCTAGGATGCTTGTGTCCTGATCTGACTGCTGACTCCCGCTTCCTACTCACGCATACCCTGGGAGGCAGTGGTGATGAGGCAGTGAGGTCCCTGCTACCCACGTGGGGAACTTGGATTGAGCTCTTGGCCAGAAGCAGTTGCTGGCATTTGGGGAGAATGAACCAATAAATCAACATGGAATTCCTCTCTCTCTTTGCTTCTCTTCTAATCTGTCTCTCGAATAGCTCAAAGATTTATAGAGTCCCATGTCCTAATAGGTCATAGGGCCTGTCCCTTGCCATCTAGGGGCAGGAGACATTTGCTCAGTATTTCATTAGTAAGGAGTATTACAGGATCTTTGTAATTATTCAGAAAATGGTTTGATCTCCATGGGCACCAGACACGTTTGGGTAAGCATAATGAAATACCATCTCTTTCTTTTTAAAGATTTATTTTTATTATTTTTTTTATTGGAAAGGCGGATATACAGAGAGGAGAGACAGAGAGGAAGATCTTCCGTCCGATGATTCACTCCCCAAGTGAGCGCAACGGGCCGATACTATGCCAATCCGAAGCCAGGAGCCTCTTCCAGGTCTCCCAGGCAGGTGCAGGTTCCCAAAGCTTTTGGCCGTCCTCGACTGCTTTCCCAGGCCACAGGCAGGGAGCTGGAAGGGAAGCGGGGCTGCCGGGATGAGAACCGGCGCCCATATGGGATCCCGGGCGTGCAAGGCGAGGACCTTTAACCACTTGCGCCACCGCGCCGGGCCCGTAATACCATCTCTTTCTAAGAACTTCTGCTTTAAAAAAACAAAATCAAAAAACCATGCTAGCTATAAGTAGTTGTACACTTAGTTTTATTGACAGATCTTTCCATCTACTAGTTCATCTCCCAAATACCCACACTACCACCACTGGACAAAGCGGCAGTCTGGAAGTCTGTCCGTATCTCCCCTGCTGTGTGATGAGTGTGTTGCACACGAAGGCATGGGAACTGACGGCTCAGTTCCTTGAGCCATCACCAGCAGGAAGGTGAGTCAGAGTAAAGGAGCAGGGCCTGGAACAAGGCACTCCCCAGAGGGAGGAGAGCGTCCTGGCCGGGTCAGATGCCTGCCCCCAGAAGAATGGGGCGTATGTCAAGTTGCTCCATACCCTCACCCCTCACCTGCCCCAGCTTTCTCCTGCATGCATATTTTGCATCACTGAGTTAAATTTGTTTCACTTGACAAGCCAGTATTGCACAGATATGCTGTTACTAAGAGACCATGCCTTAGGTTCATCCTCGTGGTGCACCGTCTGTGTTCATGTGACCCACGCATACGGCCTGTGTCTGTCCTTACTGTGTGTTACACAACAGCTTCACTGCGTGTAAGATCCTGGCCCCGCCCTAGTCACCCCTCCCCTGTAGCACCAGCCGACACTGATCTTTATACATCAGCTCTGGTTTTGCCCTTTTTGATAATGTCATATTGTTGGAACTCAACTATAGTTTGCAATGGATTAGGTTTAACTGCTTTTGTTGGAGTGAAGTCATATAAGTTTGGTAACTTGCAGTTTTTGGTCAATTAGCAGTTATTAAAAATCTCACTGTTATTGTAAAATACAGGAGGAAATGGGAGAGTGGAGAGAAGAGGAAGGGGGGCGGGGGGAGATGGGGGAGAAGCCCTGTACTTTGAAACTGTATAATAGAAAATAATACCTATATATATATTTGTTTCTAGGTTGGATGAGTGAATAAGTTGCCCAACTTTGTATGAAAATAAACCACCATTTTTTAATTGGAAGATTTTTTTACTTCAAGGGTGGGCATTGTATTTCTCGATAAAAATCACTGCCTGGGGCCCCCTACATCCCACATTTTAGCACCTGGAACTGAGCCCTATCTCTGCTTCTCATTGAATTTCCTGCCAATGTACCTGGGAAAGTAGCAGATATGGCCAAAGTGCCTTGGGCCCCTGCCATCCCTGTGGGGAAACCCGAGTTCCAGGCTCCTTGCATGCACCAGAATCCCATATGGTGCCAGTTCATGTCCCAGCTGCTCCACTTCCCTTGCAGCTCCCTGCTTGTGCCCTGGGAACATAGTTGAGGATGGCCCAGAACCTTGGGACCCTGCACCTGTGTGGGAGACCTGGAGAAAGCTCCTGGCTCCTGGCTTCAAATCAGCTTAGCTCCTGCCATTGTGGCCACATGGGAAGTAAACCAGTGATTGGAAGTTCTTTCTGTCCCCTTTTCTCTGTAAATCTGACTTTCCAATAAAATAAATCTTTGAAAAAAACTAAAAACACAAAAATCTTAGTTTGGATTGTGAAAAATTTTTAGAGGACAGGAATTCAAACTGTTGTAAATAACCAAAAAGTAAATGGTGGCAAATCTCAGGAACACGTTTTTTGGTGCCATGACAGGACGTAATCCTCAGGTGATCTTTCTGTTGCAGGGTGGAAGATGTCCATGGATGTGACATTTCTGGGGACAGGCGCAGCCTACCCATCCCCGACCAGGGGAGCCTCTGCCGTGGTCCTTCGGTGTGAGGGCGAGTGCTGGCTCTTTGACTGCGGGGAGGGAACACAGACACAGCTTATGAAAAGCCAACTTAAAGCAGGTTAGTGTGCTTTCATCTGGCTCATTACAATTATCTTTAATTTTAAAAAGATTTGTTTATTGGGGAGGGACATACAGAGATATCTTCTACCTTCTGATTCCCTTCCCAAATGGCTACACTCACCAGGGCCAGGCCAGGCCAAAGCTGAGTGCTTGGAATGCCATTCTGGTTTTCCACATGGGTGCAAGGGCCCAAGCCCTTGGGGCATGTTCTCCTGCTTTCCCAAGGAACTGACTCCAAAGTGGAGAAGCCAGGACTCATGCCCATGTGGAAGGCAGGCAGTGGCTTAATCCACAGGGCCATAACACTAGCTCCCCTATGAGAATTTTTTGTTCCATTTGTTTCTTAACTTTCCTTAGCTGTTTTGTACCAAAACAACACCAACAGTTGCCAGACTCCTGGCAAGACTCAGAAGGCCCTCTTGCATCCAGCCGTCCTCATTAACCAGGGACTCAGATACTTGGGCCATCGCTGTTGCTGCCAGGATGCACAGCAGTGAGAAGTAGAGCAGGACTCACCCAGACACTGTGGTATGAGATGTGGACATCCCGAGCACCACCCTAACCCCTGTGTCGATGCCCACCACTGCAGACATGCTGTAATAAGCAGTTGGCAAAGCTTGGCCTGATGCATGCACAATATACAGAGCACAAGGGAGCCTTTTGCTTACTAACATTTTTATTGGCTTTAAAAAGATTCCTGGCCTCCTGGAGGAGTGTGGGATGGATACCGGCATCGTTATCTGACTCCAGAGCTTCAGCCAGCCCCAGCTGCAGCAGAACGCAGCACGCTCGGCATAGGGTGGCTGTCTTAGTAACCTGGAACAGATCTGTCAGTGTTTGATTCCTTTAGACCTTTCAGTGTGGACTCCTCCTGAGGAAGTATGCTTGGAGTTTCTCAAGAGGTTCTTTGTGTTGAACTGAACACACTTATTTCACACTTCCTTGATCCAAATACACAAGTATCTGATTGACAGGTTTGCTGTCACCATTTCTTTCATAAGTTTAAAGAATAAGCTAGAGCTTTCTTCTTCCCTAATCAAAAAATTATTATTTTTTCTTTAAAGATTTACTTATTTTTTATTGCAAAGTCAGATATATAGAGAGGAGGAGAGACAGAGAGGAAGATCTTTCGTTTGATGATTCACTCCCATGTGACCGCAACGGCCAGTGCTGCACCGATCCGAAGTCAGGAGCCAGGGGCTCTTCCAGGTCTCCCACACGTGGGTGCAGGATCCCAAGACTTTGGGCCATCCTTCTCTGCTTTCCCAGGTCTCAAGCAGGGAGCCAGAGGGGGAGCGGGGCTGCCAGGATTAGAACAGGTGCCCAAATGGGATACCAGTGTATGCAAGGCAAGGACTTCAGCCGCTAGGTTACTGTGCTGGACTGTCAAAAAATTATTGTAAGATGATTATTAAAATCATTAGGCAAAGATACCTGCACCATCCCACATAAGAATGCCTGGTTTGACTCCCCACGTTTGGCTTCTAATTCCAGCTTTCTGCTGACACGCCACGGGAGACAGCAGGTGCTAGGTTAAGCACTTGGGTCCCTGCCACCGCTCTGGGACACCTGGAAGGCATTCATGGCTCTTCAGTTTGGCCTCACTCAGCCCTGGCTTTTGTTGATATTTGGGGAGTGAACCAGAAAAACACAAGCTCACATATATTCTCTCTTCCTCTCCTTTTCCCCCTGTCTCTTTCTTTCACCACTCAAATTTCAAAGCTGTGGTATTTAAAAAAAAATCATTAAAATGATAACATGATCACTGTGAGAGTTCACATGAAAGTATAAAGAAGAAAAGTACAAGTCTTCAAATCATAGTTTAACTTTTCTATACATACAGGTGTGGTAAAGGGGGTGGTTCACATAGACAGAATTCCACTTTACTTGGCTTAACCTATTGGTTTTCAGCTGGCCAATCAATGCAGTGGCACATTGCAGACCCTCCCTTGGGTCAGTAAATGGGCCTGCACTGTTGCTCATGGTGTCTGCCTTCTCCAGGCTGGCGTATTCCTGCATACCTTTCTTGCTCTCCAGTCAGAGAGAGCTCATGCGTTTTCTTCTCTTCATCTGATAGCTTCCTCGTACCTTTGATCATTGTGGCTGCCGTTCCTTCTGCCTCTAACATGAAGTCTCTGAAAACATGCAGTGTTTGTCTTCCCTGAAACCACGATGATGACTGTGGGCTGCGGCTTTCCACTCACCCCGCCTTACTTGCTGTGGGTTCTCAGGTTGTTTTTGCATTTGGTGGGATCTGTGTTTGCAGGGAAACAGGGTGAGGTCCCAGAACGTCTGGTGCTGGCAGTTTTGAGGCCAGCCCGGGGTATTCTGTCTGCAGAATACTCAGGTCACCCTTGGACATGGCTTGGCAGTCGGGGAGTAGGGTGAGATGGTAGAGTAAAAGGATTTGGGCCTCCTGGGGTTCTCAAGGTCCAGGGTCAGCCTCTGGCCAGCCTGCCCCTGCCCAGGCCCTGGGCTTGCTATAGTGGCTTGGGGAGACTCATGTAGGGAATGCTTGATGCCCAGGCACAGAGCACATCCCCTACACTATCCCCAGCCTTCTGTGGCATCAGATGTTTGGCACAGGTGGGCCTTGAGGTAGGGCCAGAAGCCTCTGTTACTCTGGAAATGTGTCAGTTGTGATGGATAATGCTTAAAAAGCTGTGTAGTACATCTCAGAAAATATCAGCAGTAAATTCAGCTTACCATAAGCTACATCAAGTTGTAGCCCAAGCCAACATGCACTGAAAGGCTGTTGTGTTAGTTCCAACTGAAAGTGAGAGATTGTATCAATACCGTGGGATCTGCCCTCCAGCATCCACTGACCAGCTCTACCCCTCATTTCCTCACCCTCTTCTACCTCCTGTCTTCCTCATCCCCTCTGCCCTCTCTCCTTTCAAACTTACCAAGACAAGCAGGCTCCTACTTGCTTGGTTAATACCTGTTCACTGGGGAGAGTCCTTAGAGGCAATTTTGGGGCTAAGGCATTGGTCCAGTGGAACATTTTGTGTGGCTGAAGTACAAGCTTGCTATTCTCAAGGGCAGCACTAGGGGGCAAGGTAGTAGCTGTCAGATGCGTTTGACTCCAGGACTTAATTAGGTAACTTAAAGTGAATTGTTTTGTTACATGTTGTGTATTTTAAGTGAGAGGATACATAGGAAAATCAATACTAAAAAACTATGTAATTTGAAGATGTGTATGAAAAAAAGGTATGGTATTAAAACCACTTGGTAACCTACTGTCTGTCTTGCTTCTGAAATCATGTAGCAAAATGTAAATGACTAGATTTATGATGGAAAGTTGAACTTCTAAATCATTTAAGGCTTTTGGTATTGTGTTAGGCTTATGTTAAATAGTGTTGTGCAGATTTTTATTTCTAAAAAATACCTCCAAATGTATCTCTGTGTCTCCATCAAAAGGGAGGATCACCAAGATCTTCATCACACATCTTCATGGAGACCATCTCTTTGGCCTTCCTGGCCTCCTGTGCACAATCAGCCTGCAGAGCGGCCCCACGGTCCCCAAGCAGCCTATTGAGATCTTTGGCCCTGTAGGGCTGCGGGACTTCATATGGCGGACCATGCAGCTCTCTCACACAGAGTTGGTCTTCCCCTATGTGGTCCATGAGCTGGTGCCCACAGCAGATCAGTGTCCGGCAGAGGCACTGAGAGAGCTGGCAGACATGGACAAAGCAGACAGCCCTGCTGCCCAGGGACAAGGACGAACCATCCTCTTGGACTCCGAGGAAGATGCGTACCTTCTGGTTGATGAGGAGCAGTTTGTCGTCAAAGCATTTCGCCTCTTCCACAGAATTCCTGCCTTTGGGTTTTCAGTTATGGAAAAGAAAGGCCCAGGTAAACTCAATGCACAGAAACTGAAAGATCTTGGTAAGTGATTTTCTTTGCCTTCTCATCAACTGAGCTGTTGCTACCCAAAGCTGTTAGAAATACCTTACCAGGGACACGTCTGAAATGAGAATTTTTGCTGCTCTTAACTTTACAACTGCAGCCAGCTATTGCCAGGGTCTCCTTTCTCTGTCAGCTTGGCCGTTCTAGTTCTACCTTGATTTGAATTAATTTGATGTTCAGGACACTGCGTCTCAGTCAAGCGTAGCAAGATAGACTTGGGGCCCACTAGGGGGCTCCACCCCTCCTCTGTGCCAAGCCATTGTGCCCACAGCAGTCCTCAGCACTCTAACTCTGTCCCACTTGTAACATCATCACCGCCCTTGACCAGGGAGACAGGTGACAACACCTGTAAAAAGCATGGAGCTATTTTTCACGAGTTCTTTTCATTACACAATCAGTACTTGAGCCAAAACAAAAACTAGAAAATGAGGAAAAGTGACTTAGGCCAAAGGTATTTTTATAATCCAAAAACTGTGAAAACTTAAAAAGGTTTATTGATTTCAAAGGCAGAGTGACAGCAAGAAGAAACAGAGAGAACTTTGTCCTCTGGTTCCCTCTTCAGATGCCTGCAACGTTTGGTGCTCAGCCAGGTAGAAGCCAGAAACCTAGCACTCCACCCAGGTTTCCGTGTTTTGGGGGCAGACTCCCAAGTAGTTGGGCCGTACCCTGCTGCCTTGCCTCTGCTGGTTGGTTAGCAGAGTAGCCAAGACTTGAACAGGGATACAGTTTGAGCTTAATGTGCTGAGCTTAATGAGCTGTACTGAGAAGCCTTAACGGTGAGCACACCATACTTGTGTGTAAGTACTGTGCTGTACAGAGTGAAGCTCAGGTGTTGTTTTAGGTTCACCGGAACCAAAGCCCAATTTGATAAAGGCAGAGCTGCTCCTGTCTTTAGTTGATCGTGTGTGATTGCCTGACGTACTCCTTGGTCTTATGATCTAAACAATCCACACTAACAATTTTTTATGAGTTAACCATTGTAGGTACTTATCTTGACTGGCAATAATGTCATCGTTTAAGTGCAGTCCTTTATTTTACCAAAAGATGAGCTTATTAAATAAAAAAAACATGTAAAATCTGTTAATCCTTTGCACAACCAAGAATTGAGCCTATTATATTGACCATAAGAAAGTCTTAATGGCAAGTAGAGCTTATGGGTCCAGCACTGTGGTTCAGTGGGTCAGGCCACTGCCTGCAAGGCTGGGGTCCCATGTGAGAACGTACAGTGTTTCATGCTTATGGTCCATCTCCCTACTAACCTATTTGGAAAAGCAACAGGAGACAGCCCAAGTGATTGGGTCCTTGCCACCTATGTGGGAGACCAGGAAGAATCCCAGGCTCCTGGCTTTGGCCTGAGCTAGTCCCTGGTATCATGGGCATTTGGTGAGTGAACCAGCAAATGGAAGATCTCTTTTCTGTAACTCTTTTAAAATAGATAGAAAATAAAATATTAAAGAAAGAAAGGAATATAGGAGCTTACAATTTTGACGCAAATCCATGGGAAGTGTTTAAAGTACTAGGGCATTGCTGGTCTTGATCAGTCAGCACTGAATTTTTAAAAAATACGTAAGTATCCAAATTTTCCACAAGCAGTAAAATATGCATAATAATTAGGAAAAGAGCTGGATGCCTTTTCCATTTGCTATTTGCTATGCTGTTAAAATCAACTCTTTTAAAAAGTAGTAAATTCCATTCCTATGACATAACATTATCTGTCTTCATCATTAGGTGTTCCGCCAGGTCCTGCCTATGGGAAGCTGAAAAATGGAATTTCGGTTGTTCTAGAAAATGGAGTTACAGTTTCTCCCCAAGATGTTCTCAAAAAGCCTATCAGTGGGAGAAAGATCTGCATCCTGGGTGACTGTTCCGGGGTGGTGGGTGAGGGGGGTGTGAAGCTGTGCTTTGAGGCGGACCTGTTGATCCACGAGGCCACCCTGAACGACGCCCAGATGGACAAAGCCAAGGAGCATGGCCACAGCACGCCTCAGATGGCGGCGACCTTTGCCAAGCTGTGCCGTGCAAAGAGGCTGGTTTTGACTCATTTCAGTCAGAGGTACAAACCAACCTCTTTGGCCCGAGAAGGAGAACCAGATGGCACCATGGAGTTGAAGAGGCAAGCTGAAGCCGTGCTGGAGCTGCAGGAAGTGACTCTGGCAGAAGATTTTATGGTGATCAGCATTCCAATCAAGAAATGAAACCTGAGCGCATACTGGCATATCTGTGACATAATTACTGAACACAGTCCAGCTTGCATTGTTGTTTTTTTCATCTGAAGTTCTTTGGGTCCTGGTAATCCTTGAAAGGATAGAGCTGCATTGCTGAGTTGACTCAGTCACGGCAGGGAGCAAGCTTTTTATAATAAATCATTTTGAAAGAAAGAGCCCAGCTTCATTTTTCAAGTGTAAGTTTTTCAAAATGATAGACTGTTTGGGTCCACATCTCATCAAGTGGCCTCTGCTACAGACAAAAGCCAGGACCCCATACCATCCTGGGCTTTGCTTCAGCCCAGCTTTCTTGCTGTTATTGGCAAGGTGCACTGGGCTTGGCTCTCCCAGCTCAAAGTGGTATTTTGGCAGCCTGTGCTGAAACTGTTCGTGTTATTAACAGAATAGAAAGAAATGTAGTGAGATATTGTACATGAAAGATTAAAACTTGTATAATGATGGCGTTGCTGGAATACTGCAGGCAGGGTCAATTTGGGTGTATATATTAGTATTTTACTGAACTTTCAGATTTGGTCTAAACCCCATGTTCTCAGTTGGTGTGGTACTGCTGCCCCTAGGAGTTGTGGGGATGTTTACTGGTAACAGTGGCTGGGGATGGTGGAGGTGGTGATGGTGATGATGATGATACTACTGATGTTTACTAAACATGGGTTAGGGATGTTAGTGTATCCTGCATAATTCGCATAGTCCTGTGCAATGAATAATTATCTCACCCCAAAATGCAAATTGCAGGCTCATTGAGAGGCACAAATGAGTAGATACCAAAATGAGTGACAATGAGCGGAAGTACAAGGCAAATCGATTCCTGTAACAAATGCTAAGGAGTGGAGATATTGGGATGGACATGTCACATCAAATATTACCCTGAGGAAGTGAGCCATCAAGTGAAACTTGTGATCCTGGAGTTTCAAAGTTGTGTCTGCTCATCTGAAGCCTAGGGCACATGTTCCTCTTAGTTCTTTGGCTACAGTTTTAATGTGTCTTCTTTCCAGAGAGGCCTTTGCTTCTGTTCTGCATTTGATGTCCTTTTTGTGTGCCTAGAGGCATCTCTGACCAACTTGATCCACAGCATGTCTCAAAGTGTATTCCATGAACAGCCAGTGTAGAGAGAGCATTCATTCCAAATGGGCCCTAAGTCAGATCTGCATGGGAGGTCCTTTATGTTCCACGCTCCTCCAGGAATGGTCCGATGCCTGTCAGTACACGGAGGACAGTACTCCCAAGCATGATCATGAACCACTCTTGGGTGCCTGACCCTAGGGTCCAGTTCCATATCTCGTGGTCGCACTTCTTTGGGGTCTGAGCAAGTTTCATGCTCCCTGAACCGTGTATGGGCTTGTTCATCTCTAAAATGGGAGACGTAATAAAGCCTACTTCATAGGATTGTTGTGACAATGACATGAGACAATGGGTGTAAGGAGTATAACACGTGACTTGCAGGCATGAAGAGGTCCTGCAGTGCCCAGGCCTGTCAACTCCATTACTGACATGGGACCCGTTTCTCAGTCCTGCCTCACCAGATCCAACCTGTGAGCATCACAGCGACCTAGGACCGCCAAGTACACACACTCAGAAGCTGTCATAGCGTGCACTGTAGATTCACTTCCGGCTGGTTAGGGAGACTCCAAGGTAGAAATGACCGGGCTAATACTAATAACAGATCAACCCGATGCTGTCTCTAGAATGATCTGATTCTGTTGGAATCTAGGCTTTTTACCCCCAAAGTGCTCAAGTTTAATCAGACTTGAATGTCTTATTTTCCAAGCAATTCAAATAAGCATCAATCTGACCCTTAATGTATGCCTAAGCCTATGTCAAAAGGAAAGGCCCACTGCCTAGACATACAGTATGTCTTGATTACTTCTGCATTCTTAGAAATGCCAACCCATGGTAAGTACACCAAAAATGGATTTTGAAACAAATGCAATTTTGATGTCATAAGCATGCAAACTTATGGGCATGATTCTAAGTCCAGTCCATTTTATTACTGTAACTATAGTAAAAGAAAAAAGAAAGCACTGCATTCTCTGAATACCAACTAAGTACTGTATCTTACTGGGTTTGGAGTACATACATGAATAGGCAGAAGTCCAGCCCCAAGTTCATAGTTTAGTGGTAGTGTCAGATAAGTAAGCAAGTAAATATGTACTCCTTCAAACAGTTCTGGTCTTCAGCCTGGCACTCACTGTTGCTGTCCCGGGCATCACTCAGCATCTGACTTGAGCTGTGGTCTTAGAATCAGGCTCTATAAATATACATTGGCTGAGCCCTCAGAGGCCATGGGAACATGAAAATGACAGGTTGGACAGGGTGTCAGATATCAATCCATGGTGAGAATTCCCTCTAGACTCTTCTGACCAAGAATTCCTTAATGATAGGGACATTCTAATTTATGGATTCAGAATTAAAATAGAAGTTTATATGGGACATCTCATAACCTGTAATCTGCTCATGATAGTATGACTAATAGAAGACTTTAAATTTATTTGATCCCCTGAATCTTCTTTTTCTAAAAAAAGAAAATTTTATTTTATTCTTTATTGGAAAGGCAGATTTACAGAGAGATGTAGAGAAAGATCTTACATTTCCTGGGTCACTTGCCAAATAGATACAATAGCCAGAGCTGAGCTGATCTGAAGCCAGTCGCCTCTTCTAGGTCTCCCACATAGATACAGAGTCCTAAGTCCTAATGCCATCCTCCATTGCTTTTCTAGACTACTACTACAAAAGGGAACTGGATGGGAAGTAGAGCAGCTGGGTCACAAACCGACACCCATATGGGACAGCGGTACTTGCAAGTAGACTAGCCAGTTTAGCCATCACACTGGCTCCCTGAATCCTTTTTGCCAAGAACATCTTGGGACTTTGAAAAATGCTGTTCCTTATACTATTTTGAATTAGTACCTTTTGGGCCCTGTGCATTGGACTGGCTTGCTGAGGCCATTTGGGGATTGAACCAGCTGATGAAGATTTTTCTCTGGCTCTCCTCTCTGTAATTCTGATCTGCCTTTCAAAAAAAAAATTACATATATATATATATAGAGAGAGAGAGCATTTTCCCACAACATTAAATGTTCTCTGAAAGCACTGATTTTATATTTTATAATATGATTTTATAAATGTATTTAAGAAAGCATTTAATGATTTTATCCCTTTCTATAGATGTAATATTTAATCATTTTCCTATTTGGGGGGAATTTCCTCTTTTCCATTATCAAAAATCATACTCTCATGAATTTTTTTAAAGGATTTATATATTTGAAGAACAAAGTTAAAGAAATCTTTCATTTTCTGGTTTGTTCCCCATTGGCCACAAGTGACTGGAGCTGGACCTGGCTGAAGCCAAGAGCCAGGAACTTCTGGATTTCCCATAAGGACATCAGGACCCAAGGGTTTGGCCATCTTCCTCTGCCTTCTGAGACACATCAGCAGGGAGCTGGATGGGAAGTGGAGCAGCCAAGAATCAAACTGGCACTCACTGGAAGTTGATGTTACAAGAGGTGGCTTAAAAAGCTGGACCAGGGCCCAGCACAGTGGCCTACAGTCTGAAGTACTCACCTTGAACGCACTGGGGTTCTAATCCCGGTGGCCCCACTTCCCATCCGGGGGGCTCTCCCTGATTGTGGCCTGGGAAAACAGTTGAGGACGGCCCAAAGCCTTGGGACCCTGCACCCACATGGGAGACCTAGGAGAAGCTCCTGGCTCCTGGTTCAGATCGGCTCAGGACTGGCCGTTGTGGTCACTTGGGGAGTGAACCATCAGACGGAAGATCTTCCTCTCTGTCTCTTCTCCTCTCTGTATATCTGCCTTTCAATAAAAATATATTTTTTTAAAGCTGCAACATAGTGCCACCCCCTCTTAACATTCTTGTAATAAGTCTTTGTATCTCTGAGTCCTTTCTTAGAGTTGGTTTCCCCAAGTGTCAAAACATCTGACTGACTTTCAGACTTGGTAGGAGCCGCCCACTCATGCTCATTAGCACTCGCAGTAGCGAGAGGAGTGGCCTATTCATGTGTGACTCACAGCACTTCATTTTCCAAGATGTTAGTCCTAGAAAGATTATTAACTTTCATCTAGCATGTTTAATTTAACTGTGGTTTCCTTGAATTTTTTTTAAGACTTATTTGGCAGACTTACTGACAGAGAGACCATCTTCCATCTCCTGGTTCAGTCCCCACGTGGCTGCAGTGGCCAGGGCAGGGCCAGGCCACAAGCAGGAGTGAGGAGCTTTATGCAGATCTCCCAAGTGGGTGCAAGGGTCCAAATACTTGGACCATCCTTGTCTGCTTTCCCAGGCTATCAGCAGAAATTATATCAGAAGCAGAGCAGCTAGAATTCAAGCTGGTGGCCATACGGAATGCTTATATCACAGGTGGAGGTTTAATATGCAATGCCACAATGCTGACCCTTCCTTGAACATTTGTAATCCAATTTAAGACTTTGGTAGTTTGTACTAACAGAGGTGCAGGGAAGGTATTTGGCCTTCACAGAAATGTAAACTTATAGCGAGATGTCCTGATTCTGTCTTTAGTGATTGATGGATTGTTCGAGTAATGAACGAGGCAGTCTTTCCCACATGGGAAGTCCGAAAAAGGGAAGTGCTGGTAGTGCTTCAAATTTTTGCCTTGACTGGGTGGGAATGAGTTGGGCTGGGGATGATGTGGGGTGAGAGCACCAAGCTCTTCTTCAGCAGTAGGAAGCAAACAATTTCTAACAGAAATAAATAGTACTGTAAGAACATGATGTACTTAGAAAGCTGGGGGAGGAGAGGGGAGGATACCAGATGGATTGTTTAGAGTGGAGTAAGAGGCTCTAGTGGAAGGGGCCACTGGTCTGGGGAGAGGTGAGCAGGAAGTGGTTATTCTTTGTAAGCCCATTGGAATAGCAAATATGTGTATTTAGCTTGTTCAAATTTTTCATCAAATCACACACAGAGACTGCTCTGAAAACTCAGGTTTCCACCTGCGCACTCCTCTCAAGCCTTTGCAGGGATCTGATCCATTCATACTGCAGCCATGATGTGTTCCAAAGTGTCAGGTCTTGGGTCTGGCGCAATAGAATGGTGGTTAGGGTCCTTGCCTTGAATGCGCCAGGATCCCATATGGGCACCGGTTCTGATCCTGGCAACTCCACTTCCCATCCAGCTCCCTGCCTGTGGTCTGGGAAGGCAGTTGGGGATGGACCAAGGCCTTGGGACCCTGCACCCATATGGGTGGGAGACCTGGAAAGAAGCTCCTGGCTCCTGGCTTCAGATTAGCGCAGCACCAGCCATTGCGGCCACTTGGGGAGTGAATCATCGGATGGAGGATCTTCCTCTCTGTCTCTCCTCCTATCTATACATCTGCCTTTCCAATAAAATAAATAAATCTTAAAAAACAACAACAACGGGCCCGGCGCGGTGGCGCAGTGGTTAAAGTCCTCGCCTTGCACGCACAGGATCCCATATGGGTGCCGGTTCTAATCCCCGCGGCCCCACTTCCTATCCAGCTCCCTGCC